TTGAAATCAGGTAACGTGATGCCCCCAGTTTTATTTTTGTTTTTCAACAGTTCCTTAGCGATTCAGGGTCTCTTCTGGTCCCATACAAATTTCTGGATTATTTGCTCCAGCTCTTTGAAAAATACTGGTGGAATTTTGATTGGAATGGCATTAAAAGTATAGATTGCTCTAGGCAGTATAGACATTTTAACAATGTTTATTCCTCTGATCCAAGAGCATGGAATGGTCTTCCATCTTTCTGTGTTTTCTTCAATTTCTTTCATGAGTGTTCTGTAGTTCCTCGAGTACAGATTCTTTACCTCTTTGGTTAGGTTTATTCCCAGGTATCTTATGGTTCTTGGTGCTATAGTAAATGGAATCGATTCTCTAATTTCCCTTTCTGTATTTTCATTGTTAGTGTATAAGAAAGCCACTGATTTCTGTACATTGACTTCGTATCCTGCCACGTTACTGAATTGCTATATGAGTTCTAGGAGTTTGGGGGTGGAGTCTTTTGGGTTTTCCATATAAAGAATCATGTCATCTGCAAAGAGAGAGAGTTTGACTTCTTCATTGCCAATTTGGATACCTTTTATTTCTCCTTGTTGTCTGATTGCTGTTGCTAGGACTCCTAATACTATGTTGAACAAGAGTGGTGAGAGTGGGCATCCTTGATCTCAACGGGAAGGCTGCAAGCTTTTTCCCATTGAGGATGATATTTGCTGTGGGTCTTTCATAGATAGATTTTATGAAGTTCAGGAATGTTCCCTCTCTCCCTATACTTTGAAGCATTTTAATCAGGAAAGGATGCTGTATTTTGTCAAATGCTTTTTCTGCACAATTGAGAGGACCATGTGGTTCTTCTCTTTTCTCATATTAATTTGTTCTATCACATTGATTGATTTGCGAATGTTGAACCGTCCTTGTAGCCCAGGAATGAATCCCACCTGGTCATGGTGGATAATGTTTTTAATGTGCTGTTGGATCCTGTTTGCTAGGATCTTGTTGAGAATCTTAGCATCCATATTCATCAGTGATATTGGTCTGAAATTCTCCTTTTTGGTAGGGTCTTTGCCTGGTTTGGCGATCAGGGTAATGCTGGCTTCATAGAAAGAGTCTGGAAGTTTTCCTTCAGCTTCAATTTTTTGAAACAGCTTCAGGAGAATAGGTGTTATTTCTTCTTTGAAAATTTGGTAGAATTCCCCAGGGAATCCATCAGGTCCTGGGCTCTTGTTTTTTGGGAGGTTTTGATCACTGCTTCAATCTCGTTACTAGATATCGGTCTATTCAGGTTGTCAATTTCTTCCTGGTTCAATTTTGGGAGTTTATAGTTTTCCAGGAATGCATCCATTTCATCTAGGTTGCTTAGCTTATTGGCATATAACTGTTGATAATAACTTCTGATGACTGTTTCTACTTCCTTGGTGTTAGTTGTGATCTCTCCCTTTTCGTTCATAATTTTATAAATTTGGGCTTTCTCTGGGCAGAAGATATGAACAGACACTTCTCCAATGAAGACATACAAATGGCTATCTGACACATGAAAAAATGTTCATCATCACTAGCCATCAGGGAGATTCAAATTAAAACCACGTTGAGATATCACCTTACACCAGTTAGAATGGCCAAAATTAGCAAGACAGGAAACAACATGTGTTGGAGGGGATGTGGAGAAAGGAGATCCCTCTCACACTGTTGGTGGGAATGCAAGTTGGTGCAGCCACTTTGGAGAACAGTGTGGAGATTCCTCAAGAAATTAAAAATAGAGCTTCCCTATGACCCTGCAATTGTACTACTGGGTATTTACCCCAAAGATACAGATGTAGTGAAAAGAAGGGCCATCTGTACCCCAATGTTTATAGCAGCAATGGCCACGGTCACCAAACTGTGGAAAGAATCAAGATGCCCTTCAATGGACGAATGGATAAGGAAGATGTGGTCCATATACTCTATGGAGTACTATGCCTCCATCAGAAAGGATGAATACCCAACTTTTGTAGCAACATGGACGGGACTGAAAGAGATTATGTTGAGTGAAATAAGTCCAGGAGAGAGAGTCAATTATCATATGGTTTCAATTATTTGTGGAGCATAACAAATAACATGGAGGACAGGGGGAGTTAGAGAGGAGAAGGGAGTTGGGGGAAATTGGAAGGGGAGGTGAACCATGAGAGACTATGGACTCTGAAAAACAATCTGAGGGGTTTGAAGCGGCAGGAGGTGGGAGGTTGGGGGAACCAGGTAGTGGGTATTAGAGAGGGCACGGATTGCATGGAGCACTGGGTGTGGTGCAAAAACAAGGAATACTGTTACGCTGAAGAAAAAAATTTTTCATAATCAGAGAAGGAATATGAGAAATTCCTCTCAGGCCTTAAAGGAATAAACTGGTTTAATGATGACTACAAAAAATAATAATAAATAAATAAATAAATAAATAAATAAATAAATAAATTTAAGTTTCATATTAAACTATTTTAATATTAAAAAAATAAAATAAAATAAAAAATAAAAAATAGGGGCAGCTGAGTGGCTCAGTCAATTAATGTCTCTGCCTTGGGCTCAGGTCATGATCCCAGAGTCCTGGGATCAAGTCCCGCATCAGGCTCTGCTCAGCAGGGAGCCTGCTTCCTCCTCTCTCTGCCTGCCTCTCTGCCTACTTGTGATCTCTCTCTGTCAAATAAATAAAATCTTTAAAAAATAAATAAATAAATAAATAAATAAAACAGAAAATAAATAAAAGCCCTGTTAAAGATCCCATGGGGCCCATGAATGAAGCTGACTTCTCTGTCTCCTTTGTGGGTGCAGCTATCTGGGAATGGGCTGAGTTGTCCTGGGACCTGTGCCCCTCCCAGGCCAGGTGGAGAGACCTGGCTGGTCCAGAACAGTAGTGAGGGGCCACCTGCAGGGCTTGAAGCTTGCACTAAATAAAATGTAAAATGAGGCTCCTCAGTTACATTCGTGGCCTTTCAGTGCTCAGTACCACCCATGGCTGGGGGCTGCCGGCTACTGAATTGGACAGAGCTGACAGAACTCTTTTCTCATCCCTGTAAGTCTCACTGGCTCATCTTTGTGCATCAATCCTTAGGCACACACTGGGGATGGGATTAAGGAGGGCGCGTGTTGTGACGAGCACTGGGTGCTATATGTAAGTGAGGAATCACCAAATTTTACTCCAAAAAACAATATTGCACTCTCTGTTCATTACCTAAAATTTAAATTAAAAAAAGGAAAGAAAGAAAGAAAGAAAAGGGCATACCCTGGGTGAGCCATGGGGGGAGGCGCCTAAACCACTTGGGGCAGGGGTAGGGATGGGGAAGGCAGTGGAGAATGCAGAAGCTTCTCTGAGCAGGACTGAGCCCAAATCTCACCTTGACCTCACCTTGAGTGCTGGTGCTCTCTACGTCTGAGGCCCCCTGCTTCTCTTTCCGCATGTCTCCCTGAGTCATCTCCTCCACTCCATGGCCTCACTGACCCCAGTCCTCAAAGATGCTCAGGCAGGCTGTCTGTAAAGTTCAGTGGACCTCAAAGTACATTAGATCCCCTTTGAGGGTTTCATAAAAGACAGGCTCCTGGCCCTTCCCCTCCTTTCTGATCAGTAAGCCCGGGGATGGGGCCAGAGAAGTTGCATTTCAAACAAACCCCAGGTGACAGGTCCCCCTGAGGCTGCTGGTCCAGAAACCACACTTAGAGGATCTTGGTATGGTCTAAAGATCCTGTTCACTGATTCATTCATTCCACAAGTATCCATGCAATGCTACCATGCGCCAAGGGCTCCTTCTAGATGTGAGCAAACCAGGCAAGTTCCCTGTGCTAGGGGCTTACATTCAAGTGAGGGAAGACAGCCAGTCAACAAAGCTGTGTGGAGGGGTGATGAACGTTATGAAGAACAAACCATGGCAAGGGAAAAAAAGCCATTTTATAGGATCATCAGGAAAGGCCTCGCTGATCAGGTGACATTTGAGCAAAGACCTCAAGAAAGCAAGGGAAGTGCAAAGATATGACCCTGGCCTTTCTGCCCATCTTCAGCTTTTTAATTAGAACAATGTGACTCGTGGTTAATATGCTTAACAATCAAGGTCACCAGTCTCTGTGACAGCTAGGTTTGAAGGCAAATTCGAGGGTGTATGTGTGTGCATTTTGTTAAAAAGAAGCCGGATGTTAAAGGCCTTACATTTCATCTGGGCGGGGCACCTGGGTGGCTCAGTCATTAAGCATCTGCATTTGGCTCAGGTCATGATCCCAGCAGCCTGAGATGAGCCCTGCTTCAGGCTCCCCGCTGGGAGGGAAGGCTGCTTCTCCCCCTCTCACTCCTCCTCCCCCTGCTTGTGTTCTCTCCTGCTGTCTCTCTCTCTCTCTCTCTCTGTCAAATAAATAAATAATCTTTAAAAAAAAAAAAAAAATTGCATCCGGGCTGGCAGTTCCACCTCTGCGCCCCATCTGTCCACACTCCTCTCTGCGAGGTGAGGGGTCCCAAAGGTGATAAGGGGACTGCCGCAGAGCCGGTTTCAACTTCTAGACGAGACCTTAGGGTTCCCAGGGCAGATGGCTCCAGCCCATTTCTAGGGCCTTCAGGCTTCTTCCCTGCCCACCCCCACCCCAGGCAAAAAGGCGACTGAATAGGGGCGGGGTAGCCTGGGACCTGGGACGTCCTTACACAAGCGCCCCAGGTCCGACCGACGAGACACAGAATGGCCACGGGAGGAGAGGCTCGGTGTGCCTTGTCGTCCCGGTTCCGCGAACGTCTGCGGCAGATCGGCCAGCCTCAACCGACGAGCCGAACGCTCCGGACCTCTCTGCAGCTCTGGGGTCCAGACAGGAGAGTGTAAGTCAGTCACATGTGTCCACCGTTGCCGGAGAAATAAGCAGTGTTTAGGGCCACAAGTCAGGCGGCTCTCCGCCCGCACAAGGAACGCGGGCTCGCGGGTGGCCCAGGCCCCTCGCCCACGCGCAGGCCTCGCCGGAAGCGCAAGGTGCGTGCTGCCCACCCCTCACTTTCCTTTCAACACATGGTATCTTTTTAGGCCCAACTGTCCCAGGCCTTAAACGGGGTTTCGGATAAGGCGAAGGAAGCAAAGGAGTTTCTGGTCCAGCTGAAGAACATCCTGCAGCAGATCCAGGTGAGCCGAGCCCAGCCCCGGGCCGGGCGGCCAGGGCAGGACGCAGGCGGCAAGTGGCAAGGGGGAAGGGACGGTCCCTGCGGCGAGCATGTGGTAGGTGAGGAACATAGAGGGCTTAACTGCCCTGCCGCGTAGCCTCAAAATATCGCTGTGTCACTTACGAAATCCGTGCGTGTGCGGAGCACCCGCGCTGTGTCACACACGAAGCTGAGCACAGGTCACGCAAGCACCGTCCCCGGCCTCAGCGGCCCGTGGGCAAGAGTGCGCATGCGTGCGCTCTACGGGGATGCGCATGCGTCTGCGCTACGTGAGTGCGCATGCGTGGAGGGCCTATTCACGGCGTTGAGGAATTCGGAAGGTATTTCCTTGTCTGCACGGAGAGGGGCTACCCAGGGCACTGCATTCTTAATCTTGGATTAGGTCCACGCTCGTGACTGCCTTTCAGTTTAAGCAGCTCTCTAAAGGCCGTATGTGCCAACACAGCCACATTGTGGGGTGCGGGGGGTGAGAGCCGCAGCGCAGGTCACCGCGCGAGGTCGGAATCCACGCTGGTCTCAGAGACCCCGAAGGATCCTAAGACGGAGACAGATCCTGCTGCCGGAGCACTGTATTGGGGGTTGTTTTCCCGTCTTCCGATTGCAGAAAGCAAAAGTATATATTGTAGAAATTTTGGGACGTAGAGAACAATAGACAGGACTAAGGAGTAGTTCACCGTTATCTCCTCACTCTAGGTGACTGCTTCACGCTTTTGATAGGTTCCTCGTGACTGACACACATGTGCGTGCAAACAGTGTGGAATTGTGCTGTACGTGTGCGTGCACGTGGTGTGGAATTATGCTGTACTTCACTTACAGCCTCCCTTTTTTCCCTTTCCAGTCTTTCATGAGCATTTTGCACAGCTCCCAATGAACAAGGTTTGAACAGTGTGCCAAGAATTGTGGTACCCCTGCCCTGACTCGCATTAACATTGTTTCCAGTGTAATAGTGTTACAGATGTCTCTGCCAAGAACTTCTCTGAAATACTTATCTATGTCTCGCTCTGGGCACAGTTCGGCGTGTCTTCTCCCTAAAGCTCTCTGCCTCCCCCAGGAAAACGGGCTGGACTACGAAGCCTGCCTGGTTGCTCAGTGTGACGCTCTGGTCGACGCTTTAACTCGGCAGAAAGCCAAGCTGCTCACCAAGGTCACCAAAGAGAGGGAGCACAAGCTGAAGGTAAGTACCTGGGTGATGACAACCTGGCCCTCCTCACAGCCTCTGCACCACATGTGCGGATGCACACAGTAGGCGCTGGGTCAGTATTAGGTGAGTGAAAGAATGGATGAATGAATGAATGAATGAGGCAAAGAAGGGATGAGCAAGCTGACCCCACACCTGCTCACCCTCACGTGACTTTCCCCAAAGCCATGCTCTCCCTGCAAAGCTGCATTCGGGTGCCCTGACAGCTGCTCAGGTCAGAAGTACCCTCTCCCGTCTTCTCTGAGGTCCTGTTGTTTGTCTAAGGGACTCTGCTTCTCACCTTGTAGAGCAGAAGGGACCAGTGATGGTGGCGAGGCCATGCTCTGCTCAGGTCATCAGCTCTGCCACCTTCTTCAGGCCCTCTCTAATATCTCACGCCCTCAGTAACGAGCAGTAATAATATGACCAGTGTCCACCGTGGGAAGGGGAGGGTTTCCCCTCGCAGGACACTGGGCTCCTGGTGTGAGCAGGTCCACGAACACTCTGCATCGATGGAGGACTGCTTCATTGTCTTGGGTGGGGGGGGTTCAACCTATTTTGTAGATATTTCCCAAATGAATTAGGAAATAATACTTTCAAGGAAAGAAAGAAGGAGTGTTGGGGATGGTCCGTGTTTTCAAGTGAAGCAGCTGAACCGATCGAATTATCCATGACCACCAACAGGAGAGAAGTAAGACAAGACGTTGGTCACTGGTCCCAAGGGCAGTTTCAGACTGTGTACTTTCTCGGCTATCCAGAGCTCAGGAACAGAGTTCGTTCTGTTGGGCATTGGGTCCGCTTGCTGGGAAGTGAGTCCCTTTATCCCCCAGGAGAGAGGGCCCATGGAGCTCAGGAGCCAGCACCTGGAGGAGAGGGCGCAAGGTGGTCACCTCTCCCAAGGCTTTCTCCATGCAAATTCTCCAACCCCCACTACAGCCTGGCTGTTCCTCCTCTGAAGAAATGATTGCTGGGGGTTCTTTTCATCGCAGATGGTTTGGGACCAGATCAATCACTGCACACTGAAGCTGCGCCAGTCGACGGGGCTGATGGAGTACTGCCTGGAGGTGATCAAGGAGAACGACCCCTCCGGCTTCCTGCAGGTGAGGCTGGGCTCGGAGAACAGAGACAGGCTTGGCTTCCCACCTCCAAGTCCGCCACCGCTCCCCAAACTAGCCAAAGTTTGGGGAGAGTCCCTTCCAGTGAATTGAGCAAATACTCCTTTGCTCAGAGATTCTGGAAGACCCAGGTTCTCATCTTGACTCTGACTCTCACTAGCCGTGACCCTGGTTCTGGGTCGTTGTTAAAAGAGGGAGTCAGATGTCATCATTTCTAGGGCCAGAATGTCATGAGTTTATGCTTTGGCTTCCAGAGACCCCCGCTCAACATTTTCCCCACAAATAGGAGAGGACAGTCTTTGCCAGACAAGCTGGAAAGACTGTAATGGAGGAAGTGAGTTAGCAGAATCCGCATGGCCCATTATCTCAATGGGCAGAGTCCTGCAGGTGTAGATGGATGGCCACTGCCCACAAAGCCCATGAAGCCTTGCTGGGGCATCCCCTCAACAGCCAGGCTGACTCAGGGCCACGAGCATCTCTCAAGAACATGACAGTGATTCAGATGGTGGCTCAGTCCTCTGTCTGCAGGGAAAATGATGAATCCCCTTGGCTAGTCCCCAAGAAGTGCACACGGGATCATGGCTCCTCAGGGACACGTGCAAGTGTCAGAATGAGCAGGACTTTCCAGCAGAGGAGAGCAGAGCTGGGGGCTTGATGGGGAGTTTGAAACAGAGCAGCTTGGAGAGAACATTCTGTGGAGAATGAGCTTCGAAATTCTGGGGCTATAGGAAGCACTTCCTTCAGACCCCAGAACAAACCACTTTTATGTTTCACTTTGCAAAGTACTAGATCTAACAAAAGCAGTACAGTGAAGAAGGCTTTTGCATATTTAAAAAACTATCATTGGCTTCACAAAACGGTTTGGCCTGCTATCTTTCAACAGCAAGTTCTTCTTCACATGTAGATGATCGCTTTTTCAAAATACAATTCAAACGGTAACAGTGCATTTTTATTTTCCCAGTGTCATGCTGGCAGGGATCCTATCTTCTCCACTGTGGCCTGAGAGCCCATGGCCAGTGCAGCCCCTTCCCCGTCCCCAAGCCACAGACACCAAGCCCCTCCTCCTTTCCCACCACTTACTGCATGATTTTTCCTTTGCAAATCAAAACCCTAAACTGTGTCCTCCCCTTTAAGATCTCAGATGCTCTGATCAAGCGTGTCCAGGTGTCTCAGGAGCAGTGGGTCAAAGGCGCCCTGGAGCCAAAAGTGTCTGCGGAGTTCGACTTGACCTTGGACAGCGAGCCGCTGCTGCAGGCCATCCACCAGCTGGACTTCATCCAGATGAAATGTAGGGGTGAGCCGTGGTTGGCCCAGTTCAGGCCGTGCTTCTTTCAGAAGAGGCATCCACTCTGAGGGGCAGCTCAGTATCACTGGAAGACTTGTGACAGGCAGAGGGAGCAGAGGGGGAGGGGAGGGGATGCCAAAGTCACAGGCCCAGGTTCAAGTCCCAGCTCAACCACCCACTAGCTGGGTGGCCTAGGGTGGGAGCACCCCAGTCTGAGCCTCAATTTTCCCATTTGTAAAAGAGGATTCGTTATTTATTCAGACACTTAGTGAGTGTGCCATGTGTCAGGCGCTATTCTAGGTGCAGGACACAGCTTTGAACAAGTCAACAAACTCCTTCGTAAGATTGAGCTGATATTCTAGAAAAGGAAATAGACAGTACCCAAATATATCAATGTCCAATGGAGAGAGACGCAGTACAGGAGAAGAATATTCCAGGTGGCAGAGGGATGGCAAATGCAAAGGTCCTGAGGCAGGAGTCCATTTTCTGGGTTCCAAGAAGTGCAAGAAGGTCAGAGGTGAGAGCAGAATGAGTAAGACGGAGGGTGCTAGGAGGTGGAGGAGAGCCATGGGAGACACAGGCTAAGGGTCAAATATTGCGTGACTTGCACCACGTCGCAAGATTAGCAAGTAACGGCCAGAACCAAAGCCAGAGTCCTATTCAAAAGGCTCCCTCTCTAGGGACATCAAAGGTACATTCCGGAGAGGCCATAAAGCTGTTTGGTTTTTTAAAACCAAAATATCAAAGGACGGCGTGCCGCACCCACAGATCTATGAGGGCAGGAAATCCTTACCTGCAAAATATGTGGCCGTTTTTACACTAAGGACGATACAAGTGTCTTTCACATCTGCGTGCCCACTCCCACACTCGGTTTGCACCTCAGGCAATGTTTGGAAATGCCGCCTGCGAATGAGATGTGGTACGGAGGAACGGGGAGCCTGGCAGAGCGTAGGGAGGTACAGCAGAAGAAGCGGTGGCCCTGGAAAGGGGGGTGTGAAAGGAGGAGGCTTGGAGCTGCTCCCAAGGCTCGGATGCTGCTCTGGGATTGGGTGGTGGGTTCACAGAGGAAGTGGGAGCGGCAACAGCAGAGCCTAGGACGGAGAGGGGACCCTACATGCTTGTAAACTGAGGCCCGGGGAGTCGGCTCCTCTCAGCCAGCCCTGAGACCAAGTCTGTAAACAAGACAGGGCTGCAGCCAGCTAAAGTACCAGTGCCACTTGGAAGACGGCCCGAATCCCCAGGAGCCAAACCGAAATCTCTGGTGTTTAGAAATCCGGTTGTGATTTTCCCTTCGGCAGCTGTCGGTGTGGACTGGATTTATCTCTAAAATCTCTTGAGCCTGAACAAAGCTAGAATATAAACACTTTCTCCCAGTCTTACCATGGTAGAACTTAGGATACATTTGATTCACATCCCTAATTCCAAGGGTTGGCTGTTGGCTACTCCAGGATTGCCTCTCCCTCCCGGATCTTGTTCCCTGGGCCTTTAACGTTTAAATGTTGTCTCTGGGCCAGACGTTTAAATGTGTCTTTGAATTCTGCATGCCCCCCCACCCCAATGGCCCCTTCCCAAGCTGCAGTGTAAGCCGCCCATTGGCTCCACAGAAAGGGTCCACACAGGCCTTCGCGTGGCCAGGAGGCACGCAGGGACATGTGGAACCCGGCTCTGTGGGAATCCCTCGTGGGTCCCTCGTGGGTCTGAGAATCAAAACCAGGGGTTCTCAGTGGGCACGAGGGGAGGAGGTCAGCCCTTCCTTAGGGCTCCAGACATAGAGGCACGGAGGCCTCTGCCATGCCTTTCCCATCCCCCAACCCGGCTCCAGGACACGCTGGGAATGCGCGGTCACCAGTCACCTGTGCTTGCCCTCGCCCCCACCCGCTTTGAGACAGAGACTCCCGGGGCTGAGGTGTGCCTGCGAGAGGTTGGGAGGGACCGCAGGGTGGCCACCATATTCCTTCTGAGACCTGGGAGCTGCTGCCTTGGGGGAGGAGAGTCGACACAGGTGTCCAGTGCCCTGCAAGGGATCTGGGCACTGAACCAGCGGTTCCTGTCACAGTGCCGCCCAGCCCCCTGCTGCAGCTGGAGAAGTGCTGTACCCACAACAACAGCGTCACACTGGCCTGGAGGATGCCACCCTTTACCCACAGCCCCGTGGACGGCTACATCCTGGAGCTGGACGATGGCGACGGAGGCCAGTTCCGGGTGAGGCCCTGCTGCTTGTTTGGAGGGTTCCTAACTCCGAGGCCTCTGGACTAGCCTGTGGGGCTGCCCTCAGCTCCAGTGCTGCCCCCAGAGGGCACTGGCCCAAAAGCAGAGGGCTGGTGGGTCTGGACCCTTGGGAGCTGGGGCCATTCCAACAAGGGCTAGGTCTGGGCAGCCCCCGCAGGCAGAGATGGCAGCCACAAAAAATTTAGGACAGCTTTCCTGTGAAGATTGACACAGGTCTGAGGCCAAGGAGGAGCTCAGAGAAGGTGTCACCTGCGCGGATTGACTTCCCAGTTCACCCCACCAGTGTTGTCCTACCTGTTATTCCAGGTCCTCCCAGATACCCCCACTCACGCAGGTCCCCACTCCCTCAATGCCCTGTCACTCCCTGCCCTGTCTGCCTCATGGATTGTTCTACCTGGCAAAGTGCTCTGCGTGTGCAGACAGACACTTGGTAAATGGTGGTTGGGTTGGGATGACCTTCTATGCTCATGTTCCCAGTGATGAAATATCATGGGGTTAATAAAGGCTCTTCGTGAGCCAGAGATGGTCTTCTACTCCCCCATTTGGTAGAGACCCCAGCCCAGACCCCCTAATGGAGCTCTACCTTGAGATTTCACACAGCGAAGCTCAGGTCACTGCCAAGGTGCTTTGTGGGCAGGAGACCAGGGAGCGCAAACTCTGGGTCTTCTGAGAGTTGCTCCTTTTCCTTCCTGAGGACACTAAGACACACTAGGGCAAACCAGTGCCACCACGACAGTTGTGCTGTCCTGGGGAGCTGTGCCATCTAACAAGTCTTGCCGAAGACCAATACTCCTTTTGTTTCTCTCAAAGGAATTTATGCATTTGTCATTTCATTTTGTTTGTTTGTTTGAAAGGTAGCCTACAAGAACGTAAGACTTGGGGAAAGAACTACAGCATTCCCTTGGGAATTCTTGGGTCCCCTGTGGCTCTGGGCATTTTAGGGAAGAGAGGACAGAGGTCAGGTCCGCAAGGAATGGCAGCAGATCACTCACTGGGCTCAGAACCTCAGAGGTCTGGCTGTGCAAAGGAGCAAAGACCGGAAAGAGCTCCTGGAACGGAAACAGGGAAAAGAGCCCCTGCTTCTGAAATGGGAAGAGAAGACTGTTTTAGGGTGTGCAAAGAAGCAGCCACAAATACAGATGGCCTCTCCGCTGTGAGACATAACCAATAACGAAAGCTAGATACAGGGGCTAGAATTGATGAGGAGTCACATGTTATAGGAGGGAGAGTGTTGGCTTTGAATGCAGACAGGCCTGGACTTGAACCCTGGCTTCCACAGTGGTTCACTCTGATGCTGGGCAGGTTTCCTACCTTCTCCGTGTCTCCTCATATATAAAATATAAAAAAATCAATAACACCTTTCAAGGATTGTGTGAGGATTAAAATGCCTGATAGAGAGCGTCGCACACAGCGATTATTATTAATAACTTGGAATAACAAAGGGAGAGCCAACCCTCTAAACAACCAGATAGGAAACATGTTCAGACAAAGTAGAAACAGTGGCACAGGAGGAGGGCCAGGCTGTGCATTTGGGGAAGTTAAGTGGACAAAGGTGAGTTTGAAGTAAATGGGGAACAAAGTAAGTCCCTACTGAAGGATCTTTGGGGTCCCCTTCAGAAATGGGTCATCCGGGGTGCCTGGGTGGCTCAGCAGGTTAAAGCCTCTGCCTTCAGCTCAGGTCACGATCCCAGGGTCCTGGGATCGAGCCCTGCATCGGGCTCTCTGCTTGGTGGGGAGCCTGCTTCCCCCTCTCTCTCTGCCTGCCTCTCTGCCTACTTGTGATCTCTGTCTGTCAAATAAATAAATAAATAAAATCTTTAAAAAAAAAAAAAAGAAAGAAATGTGTCACCCTCTCAGGAGGCTGTGAGCAACGCAGTTCTGGGGGGAGGGGGCGTGGAATGCCCCTTTCAGTCCAAATCAACTTGAACCCACCTGTGCTTGGTCACATGCTTCTGCTGTCCGCTTCTTTCCATTGAATGTACTGACCCTTCTTCTAAAAATATTGGTGATTTAGTCTGGTTAGATGCCTAGCGCATGTTTCCTAGCTTAAATTCCCGGCAAAACCCAAAAATCTTCTCTTGCTCCAACCGAGAAGGAAGTGGGGTTTCTGTACCTCCACCCCCTTGGGGAGACCTGTCTGACTGGCTAGCCTCAACAGAGCCAGGACATTCTCAGGTGGCATGCTGGCTGGCTGCAGACCCACTGTCCCTCCCTGCCTCCCTAGGACCCCCCACACCTCCCCTCCACACAGGCAGAGGGGCTGGCCGGCCAGGGGTCAGACTCTGTGCCCCACTTGGACACTGTCTGCGACCCTGCAGCCACTCATCCAAATTTCTCTGATTCAAGAGCTCTGTTAGGGCACTAGCTCTTTGAATGTCAACATGTCGCTAAGAGAAATTTTCCAACTAACCGAGGCATCTCCTGAGTACTCTTGGCTGTCTTTTAGGAAGTGTATGTTGGCAAAGAGACCCTGTGCACCATCGACGGTCTGCATTTCAACAGCACCTACAATGCCAGGGTCAAGGCATTCAACTCCTCTGGCGTCGGGCCTTACAGTAAAACTGTCGTCCTGCAGACGTCTGATGGTAAGCACTCAGGGCTCGGGGGAGGACCAGATTCAGGCACTGGGGACAAGATTCAGAAGGAGGACAGGTGGGAACACTCAGCTGCGTAGGACAGAGGAGTGGAGGGATGGAGGGAATGTGGCAGTGGAAGTGTGTGTGTGTGTCTCCTCCCGCTCCATCCCTGCCCTGCTCACTGTGGCCCCTTGCCTGCACGTCCCCTCCCCCAACAAGCCACCAAAAAAGAGCCGGTTCTTCACCCCACTTGCTGGACTGGGAAGGGGAACCAGCAACTGAGAGGCTCAGGGTGACCCAGGGGCTGAGAATGGGTAAGAGATCCTGGAGAAAAGTCCACTGGTCCTTGGGTGTGACAATCCCTTGAATACCTAGTGTGAGAGCCCAGATCTGAGGGTTTACACACCTCGCCGCAACCTTTCAGGTCTCTGGCAACGAGAGCACATGGGCATTCACGGGATTTTGGTCATCTGAGTCCTTAGCAGGGAGTGATGACCTAAATAAAGAACATGTTCCAAAAAGCGTCTTCCCTATTCACCCAGACATGCCCCAGCCTCGGCTGCAGCATCCTGGCATGATGCCAGTCCTGTTTATTGTCATCGTGTATCCCAGCGTATCCTCTGGGTGCCCCGAGGGAAATGTGACACGCCTGGTTGGTCTCCCAAGGACGGAGGGGAGAGAGGGCAGCAACAGATGCTCTTGTCAAGGGCACAACTGGAGATGCTTTTCTGAAAGTGGTGCAACCCGCAGGCTCGTTTTAGAAATCATGAAGAGGTCACCAGCTCTCTGCCCTTGGTGGCCCCCTAGCCTGGAGAGCAGCGGTCCTTGCCCCACGCATTGTGATCGTAATCTCAGAGCAAGTGCCTCACATCCCCCAGTTTGAGGGCTTGGAGAACGGAGGAGGCCACTCGACGGGCCTCCGTCGAGGGAGCTTGGTGACTTTGGTTACATCACTTCACCTCTCTGGATGTCACCTCCCACACCCACTGTCTTTAACTCACAACCGTGTGTGGAGCATAAGGGAAGGGTGTCCAAGACTCGGACTGCACAAGATGCATTTAGATCTGGGCTCTGACGGCCGAATGTCTGCATTCCTTGGCAAGGTTGGGCTCGTGGGATTGAGACGCTGGATGAACACAGATCTGAGAGAGAGAGAGAGAGAGAGAGAGTGTGTGTGTGTGTGTACACATGTGCACGAGAACACGTGTGTGCCCGGGTGTTACTCCTACAGGGAAGAACATTCAACACGGGATCAACTTTCTGAGAGATGCAAATGAGGCTTTCTCCGAGCCCAGGGTAGAGACCACTAGAGATTTCCATCCCTGACTCTGCTTCCGTCCTTTCCAGTGGCCTGGTTCACCTTTGACCCCAACTCTGGGCACCGGGACATCATTTTATCCAATGACAACCAGACGGCCACGTGTAGCAGCTACGATGACCGGGTGGTGCTGGGCACGGCGGCTTTCTCCAAGGGCGTGCACTACTGGGAGCTGCACGTGGACCGGTACGACAACCACCCGGACCCCGCGTTCGGGGTGGCCCGGGCCAGCGTGGTCAAGGACATGATGCTGGGCAAGGACGACAAGGCCTGGGCCATGTACGTGGACAACAACCGCAGCTGGTTCATGCACTGCAACTCCCACACCAACAGGTGCGCCGTGGTGGGGCCTGCAGGGGCGGGGCCCGCCGGCAGCGTCCCTGCAGCCGTCCCCGAGGTCAGGCATCGGCGGGAGGTCGGAGGGGAGAGGTGTTGCAGCTACTTGGGTGTCCAGTGTACCTGTGGAAGTGAGTGTTTGCCTGCAGAGCCCATTGCAGAGACTAGAGCAGCCCCAGGGCACGTGACTTTATGGGACACTCAGCAAACCCCATGACCAGGTTTTGCCAGGCCCCTAGGCTGTCCTTCCCTTCCCAGTTCTGCTCCCCTTTCCTTTATGCACTGTTAGCTGGGGCCCAAGTCCCCACGCAGCCGGTGCCCTCGAGGCTGTGACCAGGTCTCTGCAACGGGAGCAGGTGCCATTGGCCAGCTGCCTCTTCACAAACCACAGAGGGGCCCGGTCCAGACCCCCCAGCTCTATCTCTACCTGCTTAAACCAAACAGGGCCCAGATACACTGCCCACGGGAGGAATAACAGGAAGAACTTTTTATTTTATTTTATTTTTTCAGTGTTCCAAGATTGTTTATGCACCACACCCAGTGCTCCATGCAATCCGTGCCCTCCTTAATACCCACCACCAGGCTCACCCAACCTCCCACCCCCCACCCCTTCAAAACCCTCAGTTTGTTTCTCAGAGTCCATAGTCTCACATGATTTTTCCCCCCTGATTTCCCCCAACTCCTTTCTCCTTTCCATCTCCCAATGACCTCCATTTTATTCCTTGTGCTCCACAAGTAAGTGAAACCCTATGATAATTGACTCTCTCTGCTTGACTTATTTCACTCAGCATAATCTCTTCCAGGCCCGTCCATGTTGCTACAGAAGTTGGGTATTCATCCTTTCTGATGGAGGCATCCTACTCCAGAGCGTATATGGACCATATCTTCCTTATCCATTTGTCCATTGAAGGGCATCTTGGCTCTTTCCACAGTTTGGCAACTGTGGCCATTGCTGCTATGAACATTGGGGAACAGATGGCCCTTCTTTTCACTACCTCTGTATCTTTGGGGTAAATACCCAGGAGTGCAATTGCAGGGTCATAGGGAAGCTCTATTTTTAATTTCTTAAGGAATCTCCACACTGTTTTCCAAAGTGGCTGCACCAACTTGCATTCCCACCAATAGTGTAAGAGGGTTCCCCTTTCTCCACAACCTCTCCAACATTTGTTGCTTCTTGCCTTGTTAATTTTGGCCATTCTAACTGGTGTAAGGTGGTACCTCCATGTGGTTTTGATTTGAATCTCCCTGATGGCTAATGATGATGAACATTTTTTCATGTGTCTGTTAGCCATTTGTATACATGGCGCCTGAGGCTTACAGTATCTCATTTAGTTCTCACCAGTATACAAAAGTCCTTTACAGATTCTAGGAAGAGCTTCGGTTAAACAAGTGTCCCAAGTCACAGCACTACCTCGAGGCGCTGTCAGGACTTAGCTCAGGGTCCCGCCTCCGCTTCTGTGTGGGGTTGGGGAGCAGGTGGGACCCTGGGTAGGGGGCTGCGGTAGGGGAGCCCTGCACCGACCCAAGGCAGAGGCCCCACTTCGGTGGGAAGCCCGTGTGTGCGTCTCGGACCAGTCTGTACCGCCACCCGGTGGTCAGTGTCTGAATAGCACCAGGGGCCCGGTCCAGTTCCTTTTCTCCACCCTGGGCTCAGCACACCCTGGGGGAACCTGCCCTCTTGGGAAGCCCTTTTCCAGTCAGCGCCCCAGGTTTTTCCCACGACCTTCCTCATGACCTTGCTCTCTGCCCCTCTATCAGCCTGCAGCTGGTTAGCTCGTGCCCCATCAGGAAGAGGGTAAAAATGGTTTTTTTTGTCAGCGCGGAGCTGCTGGGCTGGGGGTAGAGACCTCAGCCCTCAGTGGAGGGAGGGGCATCTGGTGGACCCGCTTCTGACACGGAGAGGAGGCAGGTCGGCCAGAGCCCCCGCAGCACAGTGCAGCTCACCGATGCTTCTTGCGGAGCGGACGTGAACTCCCACCGGGGCCAAATTTGGGATCAGGGATGCTTATCGGAGCATCATGACTTAGCCTCAGGCTCCACTGCTGGCGCCCACAGGATGGCGACTCCGACAGGGGACTTGGTTACGAGTCCCTGGGCTGTTTCTGAGATGAGCTGAAGCCCCATGGACCTTCTGAAATGTCCTGGAGGCCTGGCTGGCTGTCTCTCTGTGGCTCTCAACCTCTCACGGGTTAAAGCTGTCCAGGGCACCAAGTTCGTTCCTTTCCTTGGCAGATAAAGGAGCCTTCCCTCCCCACTCCAGGTTTCCAAGTGGGATCTGCTCATCAAAACCCGAAAACTCTGTGGGGGTCCAGGTCTCAGGGACTGTAAGGGTAAACGGGACCGAATAAGCTGGTTCCCCCAGGATAAGGAAGCAAACAGGAGGGGTAAGGCCTTCCTGTGTGGCCCTTAACTGGTCAGTGCGCTTCCGGAAAAGTCTCATAGCCCGGAAGAAGAGCCCCCTGCATGGCCAGGGGCGCTGTGTGTCAGGGAGGATATTCCGAGCATCCTCTCAGTGACTCAGAGCCATCACCTCCGTCCCAAGCTGGGTGTGGTAGGTGATGGGGCTTCCTGGGGCTTCTCTTCCCAGAACGGAAGGTGGCGTGTGCAAGGGGGCCACTGTCGGCGTGCTCCTGGACCTGAATAAGCACACTCTGACCTTCTTCATCAACGGGCAGCAGCAGGGCCCCACCGCCTTCAGCCACGTGGAAGGGGTCTTCATGCCGGCCCTCAGCCTCAACCGCAACGTGCAGGTACTGCGTATCCTCGAGGCAGGAGCCCATCTGGCGTCTCCCCTCGGGGCTCGGGGGCTTCCAGAGGGCACTTGGACGATGTGGGCTGTAAGGCAGCCGACTGTCGTGTGCCCGGGCAGAGAGCCACCTCCCCTCAGCCCACCTTCCCTGGAGACAGTCTCTCCGGCGTGATCAAGTCTCACTTACTCACTTGAAGTAAGCAGAGGCTCTAAGCCGGTGGCCAGTTGTGTGCTGGGCCTTCCGGGCGAGGCTCTCCCCTGAGAGGAAAAACACACAAGTGGGCTGGAAGAGACCCATCCGAGGGGCTGTGAGTTTCCTTCTGCTCCCTCTCACCCTTCTCTGCTCCCTCTGGTTCCCATGTGAAGCAGGCAAGAAAGATGTCCTTTGAGATCTCAGGGCTGGGCCGTCCCCGGGGAGGGCTCAGGAGGCCGCAAAAGGATAGAGACAAAATGGGAACCCAGGTGGGTGTGTGTCGGGGGGAGAATAATGTGGAGGCAGCACCCTTGGCTTCTGGCAGAGCCCTCCTCCCCCTGGGGGTCCTGCTTTGTGGTGCCCACTGGCTCTGAGTATTGACAGGGCTGTGTCCGTCACTGGTGGATTGATTTGTACCTCCACTCACGGGAGGGCTTTGAGGCAGCCTGAAACGTGGGCTGTCCTCCCACCTGGTTAATAGAACAGGTGCCAGAAAGGCACGGGGGCCACGGAAAGAAAGCAGAAATAAATACATAACCGCGAGGGCCATACGGCTGCTGCAACAGAGCCTCAGCCTTGTCTGGGCTCCTGGCTGCCAGGACAAAGTGGGCCATCCGGGCACAGACCAGCTCCTCGGGGCAAACTCGTGGACACTGCAGGAGTGAAACTGAGCCACACAGGAAACAGTGTAGCCCACCAGAGAGAGAAGCCCTCTGGATGCTGCCTGTGGCCACCCACTGTGCTCTGTGAGCACTCGGGGTTCTCATGGTGGCCTCCCCCACCCTCACTCAGCCCGCCTTCTTTTCCAGGTCACTCTGCACACGGGATTGGAAGTGCCAACAAACCTGGGGCGGCCCAAGCTGTCTGGCAACTAGCCTCCCAGCTCCAACTGCTCACCGGCATCTGGAAAGAGCCCCGCCAGCCCCTCACTACGTTCAAAGAACCCACAAGGGTAGGACGATCGTGTCACAGATGCAGCCCCAGCAGCCACTGAGTATCTTAGAGAAAAGTTTTCTTTGGGAGATGCGGAAGAGGTCTGCGAGCCATGCTTGTTGGGGCGACTGGTTAAACTGGCCACTTGCGAAAGTGACCACTGGTTGGTGGTGAACGTGGGTGTGTGTGTCCCTTTCATTCCTCCTGGACGTTGCAAATACTCCCAAAGAAGGACCTTTCTCATGTTGCCTGCCATCTGTTTTCAAAGCTCATCTTTTGGGGGAGGGAGGCACGAGGAGGGCAGACTGGCACCCTGAGAGCAGGAGGCAGGAAGACAGTTTGGATTCCCATGCTCCAAGTGTTGACCCTTTGCCGGGACACCACTCAGTCCCGAGGCTGCAGGTTCTCTCACCTTCGCCAGGAAATGTGATCCTTTTGCTTCTAGGTCCTGGAGTTTCCACTTGGTTATGCCCTTGCAAACCTCATCCAAGGTCGATAGAAAGGGGCACTGATATGGAGCTTCACCACTCCCACCGAACTGTTGAGAACCTTTTAAAATGGTTTTCTTTGGTCCTTCGTTAATCAACCAGTCTCTGTCTCTCTCTCTCTGTGTGTGTCTGTGTCTGTGTCTGTCTGTCTCTCTCTCTCTCTTGCACGCATGCGCGCGCACACACACCACACACGCACGTAGTTTGCTAAAACTCATTCACTCCGTTGTTCTTAAACACAAAGGAAAACACGGACATCAGAATGATAGTGTGAGGAGTCGTCACCTGGTGGCTCTTTCTGGAACTGCAAGCCTGTCTGAGTTGTTCTCTTCCAGGCCGGGGTCCCCCACTCCCCAACTCAGAGCAGGAAAGGTGGGGGCCCCGGGGAAGCCGCTTAGAGCCACCTCCCTTTGCTTGGAGACCCACCCTACTGTCATCCTGGAAGCAGGAGGTGGCCCCAGGGGCAGGCGTGGTTCTGCTCTGGCGGGGGAGGGGGGCAGGTCCTCCGAAGAAGGCAGGAAACAGCAATATCAGTGAGTTCCTCACCCCTCAGTCTCCCAGGGGGAGCTTGGTTGTCCGGAGCTCTAGAGGCCCAGGTGGGGCCTCCTTGCTGGGAACACAGACCTTCTCCCAGGAGACGCGCGGGAGTGATTTGCGACTCTCGGAAAGGGAGCTCGCTTTAGGGGCTCTGAGCCTGGAGCCTGCCTTGCTCCTGTCCCCAGAGCACCTTCCCGTCCTCTTCTTCTTTTCCTCCTTGTCACCTGCCACCCCCACTTTCCATCTGGTAGTGAAACGTTCTGTCTCCTTTTTTTAAAAGAATCTATTTTATCAAGCATTTTATTTTGTCCACTTGCTGGATCGGATTTTTATAAAACTCAGCCCGTAAACCAGCAGCAACCGTGTTGACTCGGTTCTACCTGCTCGTTGAGACGCTGCCCTTGCTTTCTGAGTCTCCCCCCTGCCGATGCTGTGTAGACCCTGCCCCTAGCAGCAGGTCCGACAATCCTACCTCAGAGCCTGCACCCTTGGACCGCAAGGCTGCCTTGTCCCCACCCTGTGGGCAGGTGTGGCCGGCTAGGCCAGCCTCCGGCGTCTTCAGGAGCTGCCTGGTGCTGTCTCAGCCTCCGTGCCCGGTCCTGGCAGCCACTGCCAGGGATGCTGAGGTCCTGCCTCTTCATCCTCCGCCTGCTGCATGGTTCCTTGGGTGCACGGAGGCACTCCTTGTCATGTCCCGGAGCTCCGCCAGATCCCCCCGCTGGGGATGTCCCTCCAGGACCCCAGGCTACCGCCTGTCCTCCCGGCAACTGCCTCTCTCCTCTTTGCTTCCACTTGCCTTTGGTTCGCTCCTTAGCCATAGCTCCGGGTGGACTCAGCTTGGAAGGCGGAGAGGATTCCTAAAGCTTGGAGGACACGGAGGAGCCACCGCCTTCCTGGGGCTGATGAAGCTTGGCTGATGGGTCCAGACGTATCGGCTGTGGGAGAAGAACCACCAGTGCCCTTGGAGTGACACCAGGAGTGAGTGTGGCTGGGAAGGCGGTGGTGGCGGTCTGTAGCAGGGTCCCAGTGTGAGGCTGGGGAGCACCCAGAGCGCCCAAAGCTGGCCCCGGCTCTGCCTCATTGGAGAGGAGCTGCTCCAGGTCAGTCAGCAGGACTTGGTACCACGCTCAGGACAGCCAGCGCCTCGGTCAGAGGGAGATAGGAACAAGGAGAATGGCAGGGGGTCTCTTTGGGAAATAAAAGGTAGTTTTCCAGAGGGAAGCTTCCAGAACCCCTCACTCCTGTGAGGGCCCAGAGCAGGCACCTTGCTACCTTTGCCAACTCCTCCAGGAGCCCAGCAGCAATACGGCCGATGCCAGGCCACCTGTCAGGCTGTCCTACAGCCACCTCTCCTGCCCTCAGCACAATACACCTTTCAGGGACCAGGATGGACTGAAGAGAGAAGGCAGGTCCGTGCCACACACCTGTGTTTTTGAGCGACCAGCAAAATGAAGAATGAATCATCAACAGCTCGGGGCTTTATGTCACCCTCCCAGGAAGCCCCTGGGATGTGAAGTTGAGATGACCAGTAATGGGTTTCTTATCTGCCATCAAATTCCCTGTCCCTTTACAACGAACGTGGTGGCATTTTTGTACATAAAATTATATCAAGACGATGCTTGTTTGTTGGCTGGCCAAGGGATAACTTGGTGTTTGTCTGTTGAGCAGTTTCGGTGAGAAAGGAGTTCAAAGTAACTTAAATCGTCAAGTTCCATTGCGTTGTAAATAATGGCTCTCTAGCATAGTTCTGCGGTTTGTTCTTTGCTGGTGAGCAAGTTTGGTCAAAGTGTATGCCTTTCCTTCCCTTTATAAAAGTATCCTAATAGCAACTCACTGCATAGCATCCTAGCTCCCAATTCAAAGCAAGGTAAGATAGCACACGCAGCCCTGCCTCCCCCTCTCTGTCCTGTTTGGGAAAATAATGATTCTAATTAAAGTGGACATCAGTAATCCTGACCCACAAAGTAAATGACCTAAAAACTATAAAACTGTATATAGTTCTAGGCTGAATCCTCAGCCATATATGAATTCCATGGTTGTGACAGCACTCTCAAGCGCCCCGTGGCCTGCTGAGAGGGAGGAGGCTGGGGAGTGAGCGTGGGGATGGGAACAGGCTCCTCCTCCTTGCTCTGGGCGCCCAGGAACGCCCCACCTTTCTCTGCCCACCAGAGCACTCCCCGGAAAGGATGAGGACGCACGTCCTGTGTGTCATCCTTCCGGGGATATTTGCATTTTAGCCTTAATTCTGACTGCAAGTGAAGGGCTCGCCCCCCACCCCTTGAAGGCGTGTTTCAGCAGAGGGGTGGGAAGCTCTTACACAAAGCTGTTGCGGGTTCGACCCCGTGGCCACCTGCTCATGGAGAGGTAGTGAGGGTAGGGAAGAGCCCTGGGCAGGGCGGGATTCAGCATGGCAATGCTGGAAAACACTGTCACAAGGCCTGTCCATGATGCCGGGTTCCTCGGTGTCAGCAGTGTTGACATTTTGGGGTGGGTAACTCTCTTACTGTGGGCTGTCCTGTGCGCTTTAGGTTGGTTAACTGCATCCTTGGCCTCCACCCCCAAGAGGCCAGTAGCGCCCCCCCCCCTCCAAAATTCGCTGCGATGACTACGCGTCTACAGACATTGCCAGCCATCCCCTGCGGGACATCCTGGGCCGAGAGCCATTGGTTTGTCCTGTGTCCATGTAGAGTGACGAGTGGGGCTTCACCCCAGTGTTAGACAGAAAGCCTGTATCACCGGGCTGTGGGCCTTCCTCCTAACCCCCAAGCCCAGGATGCGCCAGAGGGGGAAGCTGGGGGAAGATGGGGTGAGCCACAAAAAGAAGCCAAGGGGTCAGGTCTCACTTCGTACTCCCTGCGGATGCCCCCCCGCTCCACAGCCCCACTCCTAGAAGGCAAACACTTGTTACCTTCTTTTTCCTTGGCCACGTTTGACCAGAAGTAACAGGAAATTCTTAATGGATTTGTGGCCTTTCTCTGGTTTTAAAAATTGAATCTGATCTCCTTAAAAGGTATTTAAGGTCTGCACTAATTCCAGGAAATCTCCACTTCTGTTTCTCAAGTAAGCTAGTAGCTGTGTTCAAGGGATCGCATTCCTTGGCAGTCCTCCCTGAAGAGAACAGGATCCTGGTGGCTTTAACTTTGAATGGACTGGAAAATCATGGCATGGGTGTGGGCAAATGTCTTAAATCTTTCTGTGCCTCTGTATCCCCACCCGAAAATGGAACGAGTCATACTAACCTACCTCCTCTGATGTATTGTGAGGATTATAGAATAACACTTTTTAAAGGAAAAAAAATAATAGTCTTTCATCTATTGAGTCTAGGCTAATGCTTCCCATTCAGTGAATCAAGCCTGTGTGGTGACTTTTCAGAACGCTCTCTGACCACAGACAGTGTCTTCCATCCCAGCCTAGTAGGACCAGGAGCATGTGTTTATTACACTGTTGCCTGGCCTTGAGGAGGGGAAATTTCAACATGTAAAATAGGCTTCACATGACCATACAAAGCAACAAAACACCCCAAATGTTCCCATTGCCAGTGAGGCCTGTTTTAATGGTACTTTTTGTACAAAGTGCCGTAAACAGGCTGTGTATCAGCATCTCATTGTTAGTCCCAAAGGCATCTGAGTGCAGAAGCCCCCATAAGACCTGGAAAGAGGTTAACCTGCCTTTCCGCCACCTTGGTCACCTTAAGTTCTAGTATCTAAGGTGTCCCCCACCCATCGTGTAACTCCATTGTCTCCCAAGAGGTCAGGCAGGGGAGCAGCTCTGAGAACCCATGTCTAAGAGTAAGGCAGGAGGCCCCTGCTGGGCGGTCATCACGGCCCTGGGACTCCGCTTGTACTACCTGCTAAGGGGGGGTCTGGGGGTGGGGACTCCAGGCTTTCTCAGTGAACAAGGCTGACTTCAGCCAGGGTTTGGGAGTCGAGACCTTACAGGGGAGTCTCATCTGGAGGCGTCACTATTCTCAAAGAGTGCTGCTCCTGGAGGGAACAAGCTGCCCACCCCGGTCCTAGGGAAGACCCGGGCAAGGTGGGCACCGCTCATCAGGCCAGGCCCTCAGGCAGGCTCTGAGGAGAGCCCAGAAACAGACTTCGGGTTTGAAAAGTGACCGCCGCGGCTGTGGGAGCGGGAACACGACTGGTGTCTGCTGGGTGAGAGCCCAGCCTGGGGCCAAGCTGGACCTTTCCAGTTCCTCCCACACCCGGTGACTGAGCGTCCCTCGCCCCCAGCTTCCTCGGCACCTAGAGGACACACAGAGGGAGCAAAGCAGAAGATGTTAAATGCATGAGGTAGAATTGCTGCTTTCCCACTAAACTGTGTATTAAGCATGAGAGATTTGTTTCACGTTGGAAAGGAATTTAAAAAAGTAACAAGCTTTGTGTCCTTGTTTTGACTGCCCAGAGAACGTCCCCGTGCCTGCCTTTCTTTACCTGTTTTCTCCCTGCTCCACGCCCTCACATCCACCTCCCGTGAGAGTGGTTGGTATCTGGGGGCAGCTCTTGGTCCCGTTTGTGTTCATGTCCCACTGGAAACACGGGGAGCGGCGGGGGGAGGGAGGGAGGAGGCGGGGGAAGTGGTGGGGAGGAAAGCAACTTTTTTCTAGTTTTTGTATTGGTACCCACAAGCGTTTGTATTTTTTGAATTGCAAACACTGTGTTTTCTGGTCTTTGGGGGTCGGTTGAACTTTGTGTATTGCCTTTTGGAAAACCTGAGTTTTATCACAGTCTTACGCAGAATTGAAATAAATTCTTTTGACACTGCCAACACCTGAAAGACAGGGCACAGTCTGTAACCCGTGCTCAGCCGCCAGGTGCGTGTCTGGCCTCAGCAGGCCCTGCGTGCAGGGTGGAGGCGGTGGGAGGGGAGGTCACGGGACGGGAGGAGGCGGGAGGGGAGGCCACCTCTCACCCAGAGGCCCCAGGCCTTCCTCGGCGCCAGAGTCAATCCGGCCGCCACTGCGCGCAGACCAGGTGTTGGGGCGGTTTAGGACACACATGATAGGGTCCGTCTCAAAGCACGGGGCGCTCACGAATCCATTCCTGCAAGAGGTGACAGGGCTGGTGTTGGTAACAGGTAACATCATGGTGAAGATACAGCCATGAATAAAATACTGAGCAGGGCTTACACTGAGACACTGAGAGCTGGGGAAGACATCCTCATTTCTGAGCTCCAAGAAGGCTGACCAGCCCCTTCAACCATACAGACTGAGCCCCGGGGAGGGGGGGCAGTGTCCGACCTAAAAGCTCCGTCCCTGCGGCCTGCCTCAAAGTGTGATCCCCAGGAACACCCGCCCCGCACGCCTCCCGCCAGCCCCTTCGGCCCGGCCTCAGGGTTCAGTCACCTGCCGGATCCCGCGATAGCTGACCGGCATTCACTCGCAGGGGCTCTGCGGGGTGCCCCCCTTGAAAGCCAAGGAAGCAGGACCGGCCACGGGGAGGTCGAGCTGTGACACAGACCCAGCGAAGGGCCCAGCCGGGCTGGGCTGGGAAGGGAGCGCCGGGCTTTGATGGCCTCACGTCAATCCAGCATGGACTGTGCCCCCGCCCCGCCCCATCCCAGGAGGGAGGTGACACGATCCCCACTCAGAACAATGAAGTGACAAGTACTCTTTCCTAGAAGGGGATCTGAGCGAGGCATCGCAGCGCCCACCACCGCCATCCTGGTGCCACAGACCCACCCACCACTCAAGTCTGGGGAGCAGCTCTTCCGGAATTCCGGTGAGGGGGGCTTAGGGAAGGCCAGGGACTCAAACTACACTCCCCGTCACTGCAGCTGGCCTTGGAGCTGCACGGGACGCTCATGGTCTGTCAGTCCCGACTCCACTTGCCCTCACCTAGTCACCCTCTCTTATTTGTGATCCAGACCCTCATCCCGGGGGTCCAAGCCTCGGGTCACCAGGCCCTTCTCCCCCAGGGTTGCTGAGTTTGTCTACTTGCCATCAAAATCAGGCTAAGAGTATGAAGAGATGCCTGAGGGGACGGCCTGGGTGCAGCGTCCTCCCTGCCGCACTGGTGACAGCAGCCCTATCCTGACAGTCAGGGTCACCCCTGCCGGTGGGACTGTTCCTACAGGGACAACCACCTTGGTTCAGTGGGACATGTGCTGTGCTGTTTCTTCTGGGAAGCAGGGTCTCCAGGTCCATGGGGCCAAGAGCTGTGGGGACAGGAATCTCAAGGTCCTGAAGTGGGTCGCTGGGAGTAACGGTAGGCGGCGTGTCATGTGGAGCGACATTGATCCACCGGACAGTGTCCAGGACGGGAAGAAACCCCCGCGAAGGGGAAACAGCGGTGCAGGCCATAAGGGAACCCGGATCCAGTCACTGGTCTGTTCCATTCTGAACTGGTCTGAACTGGTCCGTTCCCTTTGTGGCTTCCAGTTAGAATCTTCCTCTTCCTGGACGGCTGTTTTCCTTTCTTCCCTTTTTTTTTTTTTTAAAGATTTTAGTTATTTATCTGAGAGAGAAAACATCAGAGAGCTTGCACGAGCAGGGGAAGGGGCAGAGGGAGACGCAGGCTGGGAGCCTGACAACCCGGGACTTGATCCCAGGTCCCTGGGATCGTGACCTAAGTAAGCCAAAGGCAGACACTCAAGCACTGAGCCACCCAGGCACCCCTGGACGGCTGTTTTTCCTGGGGGCTTCTCTCCGCTGCTCATCTTGCTGGGAGAAACTTTCTCGACAGGGAAATAAAAAGCATGGTCTTAAGCCTGATCTCCAACCCTTAAAATACAGGTTTCTTTTAGCCTCTAAACGTTTTAGAGCTCCCCGTGGTAACAAAGCCACTCTTTAAGTATTAATTTAGTAAATTACAAAGTGAAACCCAAACAAGGGGAGTAGTTCATACATGGAACTTTTCCAGAACTGACCAGCCTATTGGTCCAGAGTCTTGGCTAAGGGCTCAGCTGTCTAAGCCACACGGTTCCTGGAGGTGGGGGTGAGGCGGAGCTGCCTCGGAGCCCGAGCTCTCTGTAGAGAAGGAAAGAACTGACAGGTCACTCCGACGTAAATTAAAATCCTCTGCTGTTAAAAGTCACAGGTACATATACCAGAAAATTGTGTTTTATTTACATAACTTCTTTTTCTTTTAAAGATTTTATTCATTTATTCGACAGAGAGAGAAATCACAAGTAGGCAGAAAGGCAGGCAGAGAGAAAGGGAGAAGCAGGCTCCCCGCTGAGCAGAGAGCCTGATGCGGGGCTCTGTCCCAGGCCGCTGGGATCATGAGCTGAGCTGAAGGCAGAGGCTCAACCATCTGAGCCACCCAGGTGTCCCCTATTTATATAACTTCTAACAAAGGACATTTTGTATACTTAGGAGAGTAAAAATTACAACTGCTTTTCCCACAAGACAGCTGCCAAATTTGCACACTGTTGGTTCTTTCATCATATAGTAACATCACACAACTTTTATTTTTTTGTCCTTGTTAGTCCCCATACAGTACATTAGTTTTTGATACAGTGTTCCATGATTCAGTGTTTGCATATAACACCCAGTGCTCCATGCAATCCGTGCCTTTAATACCATCATGGGGCTCACCCATGACTCTGCCCCTCTCCCCTCTAAAACCCTGTTTCCTGGAGTCCATAGTCTCTCATGGTTCGTCTCCTCCTCTGATTCCCCACCTTCATTTTTCCCTTCCTTCTCCTAATGTCCTCCATGCTATTCCTTATGTTCCACAAATAAGTGAAACCATAGGAAAACTGAATTTCTCTGACTTACGTCACTCAGCACAATCTCCTCCAGTCCCATCCATGCTGATGCAAAAGTTGGGTGTTCATCCTAATGGCTGAGTAATACTCCATTGTACATATGGACCACATCTTTACCCATTCGTCTGTTGAAGGGCAGCTCAGCTCTTTCCAGTTTGCCTGTTGCAGCCATTGCTGCTATGAACATTGGCGTGCATATGGCCCTTCTTTCCCCATCTGTATCTTTGGGGTAAATACCCAGTAGTGCAATTGCAGGGTCATAGGGAAGCTCTATTTTTAACTTTTTGAGGAATCTCCACACTGTCTTCCAAACTGGCTGCACCAACTTGCATTCCCACTAACAGTGGAAGAGGGTTCCCCTTTCTCCACATCCTCTCCAGCACGTTGTTTCCTGCCTTGTTAATTTTTGCCAGTCTACCTGGTGTAGGTGGTATCTCCATGTGGTTTTGATTTGTATTTCCCTGATGCTGGACATTTTTTCATGTGTGTTAGCCATTTGTATGTCTTTTTTGGAGAAGTGTCTGTTCACGTCTTCTGCCCATTTTTTGACTTATTTGTTTTCTGGGCATGGAGTTTGAGAAGTTCTTTATAGATCTTGGATACCAGCCCTTTGTAGTGTCATTTGCGAAGATCTCCTCCCATTCTGTGCGTTGCCTCTTTGTTTCATTGACTGTTTCCTTTGCTATTAAACCACTTTTAGAAAATAAAAGGCAATCTGGGGGCACCTGAGTGGCTCAGTTGGTGAAGCGTCCGACTCTTGATTTTGGCTCAGGTCACGATCTCAGGGTTGTGAGACAGAGCCCTGCATTAGGCTTTGCGCTCAGTGGGGAGTCTGCTTGGGATTCACTTGCCCCCTTTCCCTGCCCCTCTCCCTGCTCATGTGCTCACTCTGTCTCTCTAAAATAAATAAGTCTTTAAAAAAAGAAAAGGCAAGTTAAAGCTATTAGCATTTGCAAATCAATAAATTATTAAGTTTATGAAAAATCACATTATAAGCAAATGCCCAAAACACCAGGGAAAGCAAATCTAGTGTAAATCTCACCGGACAGGATTAAGCATCCTTTTTCAATAGGTTTGCTTTCTACGCCCAGTGCAGCTGGCCCTTCCCGCCACACACTCATTGCCGTGAAACAGACACTTTAGGAACTACACATTTTATTATTCCTGAAATTTTTTCCCTAAAAACAGAAAAGCGGCCTATGAAATAGAAAATAAATAAGAAGAATCTGGAAGTCTTATGGGGTCCAGTTTCAGTGCAGCAGCACTTTGCTGTTCCTCTCCTTATTTTATAAAGGACTTCACTTCGCCACTCGGGAGGAATTTATTTTCTTGATATCAACCTGACTCAGAATCAGCGTCCCATTTTTGAATTTTCCAATCTGCCCAATCCGTCCGCTGGACAAAATACTGGGAGCTGATTTCTTCTTTTTGGATTTCCTGCAGTTAATGGGGGAGAAAAGTACCAGAGTTAAGCTTATGAAGGAGGACAAGAGGATGGCAACACCAGCAACCAAGTGACCACGGTCCGTTCCTGCAAACTCCTGGGGTCATCCCGTGCACACCACCCTCCACCGCCCTGCCGCAACCACCACCCACCTTCCTGTGGTCCCTGAAACATGCCAGCCGCCTTCCTGCTCGGGGCCCTTGCACTGGCTTCTTCTACGGAGAATGTTCTGCTACTGATCTTTCTAGGCTGTGCCCTCCTCTTCACTCAGTTCTCAACTCAGAGGTCACCTCCCTGCCGAATGACATCCCAGCCCTCCCACCCCCAGTGATATTCTTTTATAATGCTTTACTGCAACCTCCTCACAGAACCTGACAGTCCCTTGCTTACCTGTTTGTAGGTTTCGAGGTGTTTCCCTCACTACAATATAAGCTCCCCAAAGGCAGGTATACCCCCCCCCGACCCCGGGCGATCATGGCTGAGTTCCCGACACCCGACACCTAAGACACCTATGTGCCTGGCACGAAGCAGACCCTCAACAGACAGACGCATGTGGCCAGGACAAACGACCACCCATGCACAAGCTCACTAAGGAGTCCAAGAAGAGGGTTAAGACAAAAGAAGTCAATTTTGAAATGGTAATTCAGGGAGTGAGGAAAGGCTTGTTTGGACCAAAGCTAAGAAACCAGCATGAAGGGACTCGATGATCTGTTCCTCAGGTCACGGCGCTCTGCTTCCTACAGTATGGCAGAGAACAGGACACGGCCCTGGACCCTGCCGCCATGCGGGCAGGCTCTTAGCGCGGGCTGGGAATGTCAACCTCAGTTTCTCCACGGACACCTGAGCTGTCTGATCTTTGCAAATGGGAGCCTGGAGGAGATTCCTGATTCAGTTCCGAGGCAGCTGTTCAATCTGGGACACTGTCTTCCCCCCACCCGGGACTTGCTCGGAACGCATGAGTGAAGCACTCTACCGGGCTAGGAACACCAGGTAAACTCCAGGCGTTAGTTTCAGAACTAATCAATAGGTTTACCCAGATCATTCCTCCCCAGTACCTGAGGATGTCACTCACCTGTCTTCCTGCCCTCTCCTCTTCTTTTTCTTGAAGATATCTGTGTCCTGGGCCTGATTTCAGAATTTAGGATAATATACGTGTCAATAATGGATAACGGAGATTCAAAAACAGACAAGAGGTGTGTGATCAAAAGCCAGTGAGGCGGGCGCCTGGGTGGCTCAGTGGGTTAAGCCTCTGCCTTCGGCTCAGGTCATGATCTCAGGGTCCTGGGATCGAGCCCCGGATCGGGCTCTCTGCTCAGCAGGGAGCCTGCTTCTCTCTGTCTCTCTCTCTCTGCCTACTTGTGATCTCTGTCTGCCAAATAAATTTTAAAAATCTTAAAGAAAAAAAAAAAAAGCCAGTTAGGCACCATTTACTTTTCATCTTTTTCTCAAGCAGGCATATTAAACATACACTCGGTTTCATCCCAACGCTCTTTCAAGAGTGTCAAAGGTCATTCCAGAAAAACCTGACAGGAGAAACATTCCATCTTTCACTATAGGGGAAAGGGAGGGAGCACAGCATCTACCCCTCTGTCATCTGTCATAAGCCCTTGTGTTCTGTACAATGTAAAACGCAACACAGGAGAAAGACCACAATAGCTGATGGGATCTGAGCAGGAACTGGCTATTTCAGAGCAAACCCTTCACGTGAATATGCCGGCTTCCCTGGCTAGTGTTAGAGAACAAAGCTGACTTGAACAGGGGAAAGAATGATCATGTCACTCTCTATCTTACTGTGGCCACTGCCTCCCGACTCCACTGCGGCCAACTGTGGCCACCACCTGGTTCTAGCTTGGTAACAAAATGGCTTTTACTCGTACCATTCTCTTTTCTTCTTCCTTGGCTGCCTTCTTTTCTTTGATTTGCTCCTGCAACACCTTGTAATTCACGTAACTGTTTTTGGGAGGCTGAAATGCAACAGGAAAAATAAAACCTAGAGATAGCATTTTTTTATTTTGGAAGGATCTCCCAGTAACCCCTCCCCTGCCTTGCCCTGGGTTCTCCCCTTTCCTGTAGGTATCCTGTCTGCTGATGAGAGACAGAAGCAGCCCCTCACCTGAGCACCCAGCATGATGGCACGTTCCCGCTCCAGGAGTCGTTCCTTCCCTTTTCCATAACCCGTGATCCCAAACCGGTGCACTTCCAAGCGAGCCTGTGGACGCAGAGCGGAATGAACCCCAAGTGCATTCCAGAGATCCCCGGGAAGAGATCTACCTCTGGGGTAGCCCACGTCAGACACGATGTGCTGGAGCGGGAACTCTGTCATGCTGTGGTTTACAGAGCTCTGTGGCGGTCTTACATAATTTCTTACCATAACCTCCCAACACTCGTTCTCCCGTGTTGAATTCTGAGCAGATGAAGCAACAGACTTCGGATTAAATGCAGAGCTCTGCATACTAGGATTCTCTCTGCAACAAGCTACTGCCCTTCCAGGCAGGAATTTCCACTTAAAAGTCCCTCTCTGAATACTCGCTCCCTCTGAGAAACCACTTCTCATAGGTGCTTCTAATACAGATTTGTGTTTGTTTGTTTAAAGATGCTGCAGAGGAAGAGAAATGCCCCTTTCCAGCAGTTGAATTACCTCCTCCTGTCTTTTTTCTCATGCATTTTAAAAACGTAGTTACAACCGCAGAATACACACTTCCCTCCCTGTTTCTCAACTTACCTCTGCATTGTGGGCCCTGCAGCCACAAACCAGTGTGTTTTAAGTGACAGCCCAGTATTCACCACCTGAAGGCAGGGGATTTGCTTAACCATTATTTCAACCACTGGACATGGAAACATATATATATGGATATATAAACATATATATTTTTGGGGGGTTACTCCAAAACTGAAAAAAAATGAACAGTTTCAAAACACATACCTTCTCTAAGTTAAATTCTTGTTTCTCCAAACCTTTCTCATGGATACTAGTTTTGGTCTGAAAAGAAAAAAAATTCTTATTAAGATCCTCTGTGACTGTATCATTGGAGCATTTGTCACCAACAGAGTGGTCATGTTTTAAAAAGCCTTGAAACTGGCCCAGATGCCCAAATACCAAATAATAACACAAGCATGTTGCATGAAAGTCTTCATCAAAGAAAAATGGAGAAAAAAAATGTTAAGGTCTCAAAGCTTAAGAAAGGATGAGAATTTTTTAAAAAATACAAAAATAAAAAAGATGATGTGAGACACCAACATCTCTCATAAACCACATGCAGAAGATTCTGTTCAGTGGGGGTTTAGAAGAGGGTTAGTGAGCTGGGATTCTGGAGGATAAATACTATATATCTTTTTATTATTTATTTTTTTTAGAGGAGAGAGAGTGCGTGCATGAGCAGGGGGGTGGGGCAGAAGGCGGGGGAGAGAGTCTTGGGCAGGCTGCATACCCAGCGCGGAGCCCACCATGGGGCTCAATGTCATGACCAAGATCATGACCTGAGCCGATATCAAGAGTCGGACACTTAACTGACTGTGCTGCTTAGGAGCCCCTTAAACATTACATTTAAATAACTCTTTCCCTCTTTCTTCCCATCCACCCATTAAAATAATGGCTAACAAAACTCTCTTAACTAAATATTTTTACAGGAACATCACATTTCTAGAAATGGAGATTTGGTTTATAATTCTCAATACAAAATAAAGGTGCTGCAAATGCCTTCAAAGCATGTGACTCTTTACACAGACATGGCCACTAGCTATGGTTACCAGCCCACAGAACTGACCAGAAGCTTGATATCTGAAGGAAATGTACTGTCACATCTGGCTAACAGCAGCGGTCACCACTCTACCCCAGCCACCGAGTCTGGGCCAACAGGAAGCAGGGTCTGAAAGCTGGGGAGCCTCGTCAAGGCATCCTTGCAGCCGGCCGCCCACCAGGGCAGCACCTCCCGCCCACCCTGCTCAGCAGGGGGCGCTGTGGAGGGACGCAGCAGTGCCCTGCACCACACCCTGCTGAGATAGGGGCCTCAATCACAGCTGTCTGCAGGTCTCTGGGTCCCTCCTCCCAATGGAAGCTGTACTCTGGCTGATCCTGGTTGTATTGTGGATGTGTGGGTCAATCACTGAACGCCTCCCCAGGTGACAGGCTCTCTCCATGATGCCATGTCCTGACCTCCCAGAGAGGTTCTTACGAAGTGGATACAGCGCTCACTGCTAAACGTTATTGGGGTCCGGGAAACGGGAAGACGTGGCCAGTACTCTCAGTATTGACTGATCCACTATGAACGACGGCCCCCCTGGGCAGTCACCACAGTGCTGCTCACCCACTGGCACGCTGCACAATGACTCTTGGCAGGACAGACAGAACACGGCACTACGAGGAGGTCTGCCACACTCCAAGCGTGTGGCCCCGTTCTGTGCTTACAGTCACAGTAAATGCGTCTTTCACGTTACTTTACCAAGATTCCTGACTTTGATGATGCTTACGATTTTCCTCACTCCCGTATTTCACACAATCAGATGCCTTAATTAAGACCACGGGCACACAAAGGACGCCAGGCGCTTCCGTTCCTCTTCCCCAGAAAGTCTTATTTCCTGTTCTGTGCCTGGAAAAAAATGTCTTTACCCTGAAGTTAAAAAAACCTTTTCTGCTGGTATGCACACTCAGTCTATTTACTATGATAAACAGTACTACTTCTTCTTGCTTAAGTCTTAATGACTTCGGGATCACCCAGATCCTCAAACACAAATGGTAAGTTAAAGAAGAGAAACTGTGTGCGGTTCACAGACCTCCAAAATCCTAGGAAACATTTACCTCCTTTTCTAAAAATTTAAGTAGTTCTCTCTCTCTATTCTTCCCTCCCATCCGTCCAACGAGGCACCGGCTAACCAAAGTTTTCTGAGTTGAAAATTTCTTTCAGGAGCATGAGATTCCCGGCGTTACTGGAGATGGCACAGGTTCCCTTGGCTGCCCCATTTCCAGAACATCGGCGCGAGGAAGGAACATCTAAGAGGACCTAAGCACTGTAATAAAATACTTGGCCACCTGCGTGACTGTCACCGTGGGGCTGAAAGCCTTGGGTCTGGGGACGAGAGTGGCCCACAGAGAGGGGCACGGCTTCCGATGTCCCTGCTTTCCCCAACACCAACCCCACAGAACACCCCAGACCCCGCACACAGGCCTCAGTTCACCCTGGCCGTGGGGACACCTGGGCCGAGGGCCTGTGTGGGCCTAGGTGGCAGGTCTGGGGGGACATAGATACCTTGCCATTTTCAAGCCCTCTGTTAACATTTTGCCAGAAATATCTCCGCTTTGCAGCTCTTGATTTGTCTGAGAAAAGGTCTGGATTCTAGATCCTTGTTTATCATAAAAGCGAACATTCTTAGCTCACTATTTTCTGATGCTCAGTTCATAGGCATGACCCTGTCAATGTCTAACTTTTATTCACAGTTTTAAAGAACTTTCAGTCCATTACTTAGCATATATTACCTGATTTAGAAACCATCAGTGCTTCTCCCTGTCTGCTTTCCCCTGGTGCTCACTGCAGCAGGCAACACCGGGTCCTCCCCTGCTTCTAGGCTTCCCTGCCTACCTGAAGTTAGGTAGGGCTATGTGAGTTTCTTTGGCCAAAGAATGTGAGCAGAGGGGAAGTATGCCCCTTCCATAAGGAACCTCTAAGAGCCATCCATCGACCCCCTTTCTCCACCAGAGCAACTGAGAGCCTTCCAGCTGGCGGAGTTCCTATTATCCTGGGCCCCTAGACGAGGACAGTGTGTGACAGCACACTCTGTCCTTGCCAACCCTGATGGACATGTAAAAATAATTAATTTTTGCCTTTAAACCACTAAGATGTAGGGACTAAACTACCGAACCACAGCCTTATCTATCCTGACCACTAGAGCTATAGGGTCCCACACACAGGAAAGAGAAAGGTTTGCAGATTTTGAGAACTTGCGTGTCAGGCTCCGAAGACAGAAGAAAGCTATAAAACGAAGGAAGAGTTTGGGGTGCGAGATGAAGGCTGGCAGGCTCCCGGGGCTCGGTGAACGCGTCCATGGGCTGACTGGCTGACCAGGGCTATTTTTGGCTGCACTGGTAAGATTCTTTTCTTCTACTAGTTACTGCTCAACCTTTGTCCAGAGAGAGAGCAGTTGGGTAAGTAAACACTTTGTTTCTTACCAGCCCATTGCTAAAGAACAGCGGTGTGGAACAAAGTTACAGGGTGCCCTGGAGGGTAGAGGATTTCAGGGTTGAGTCGCAGGGAGGGATTGAGATATTGCAGAGGTCATGAGAGCAGTAAGCACTGCGGCAGAAACACGGGGACAGGTCTTTCTACCTGGTGAAGATTCCCAGTCCACACGCTTGTGTTACTCAAAGGACAAGGAGCCTAACCTAACCTGCTCGCTCTCCACTCGCTCTCGCTCTCTCTCTCTCTAGCGGAACAGCTTTCAAGTCAGAAAGCCTGGGGTCTGAACCTGAACTCTGGTTCTTATTTCATATCCACAGTCCCTTCTGTGGAATCCTTAGAAAATTCAGAGGCTTTCACATTTTAGTAAGGTCACACTGCCAACACACTGAAGACAAAATACCACTTGGAGCAGGAGCCGCGGCAGAAGCCCGTCATTAAGGACATTTGTATCTCTGCCGCATGATCTGTGGATAATTCAAGCCAAAGGGAACAGACAAAAATAATGCCTAAGCCTCGTATGAGTTCAGGTCAGGTTTTGCTGCCAAATAAACCCGTACCAAGCTTCCAAACAAAACCAAACCAAAGCTGTGCCTTCCAAAGCCCTGGGCTTCTGGAACTGCAGAGAGGGGGCGGCTGACTGTTGAAATGCGGGGCAAGTATCTTAGCCTCTCTAGGCAGCGATGAAGACAGGGCAACTTGTCAGGATTCAGGGAGATAAGGAATTAGCGACCAGACTAAGTAATCGCTCGAGCAGTGCACAAGCCCCATAAATGTCAGGCGTTACAATGATCTGCGACGTGCTTTGGGAGCGGTCTGCACGCACCTGTGTGCGGGCCATAGGAGCCAAGAGGCCCTTTGGATCTAGAGTCCACTGTCCTCGGATTTCTAGGATGTCTTTTTTTTTTTTTTTTAAGATTTTATTTATTTGACAGAGAGAGGTATCACAAGTAGGCAGAGGCAGGCAGAGAGAGAAGGGGAAGCAGACTCCCCACTGAGCAGAGAGCCCGATGTGGGGCTCGATCCCAGGACACGGAGATCATGATCTGAGCTGAAGGCAGAGGCTTTAACCTACTGAGCCACCCAGGATGTCTTTCTTATCTCTTTCTATGGAGGCCACAAAGGAGGCTAAGGTTCAGGACACAGATTATGCTAAGGGCGGAGAAAACACCGAGAAGACACACCAGCCTAGCAACTCTCGGCTCGTTTCCAGTCGCCAACCTGGGGCTTTCACTCCCCATCACAGGCAGCCTTGCACTCGGTCCTCAAATCCCAAGTCCAGGTTGGCCCTGGCCTGACCCTACACCACAGCTCATCTTCTCTCCCCTCTGTCCTACTCCGCTACGCTTCCAGCTCCCAGACCCCCTCAGGCCTTCTCACCCACTGGGCGCTGGTGTTGGCTCTTCTGGCTCCTCTCACGGGCCAGCATTAGCAGAGTGTCACCTTGTCCTGAGACTGCCTGCCCACTCCACCGAAAGAATGCTCTCTTAGTCTCAAGACCCTATTTCTTTCCCTTAGAGGTTTCAAAACTTTTTTTAAAAAAAGTTTAATTTGAGAGAGAGAGAGAGGGAGGGAGAGCGAGCGAGCCAGCATGAGGGGCAGAGGGAGAAGCTGACTCCTGGCTAAGCAGGAATTCTGAATGTGGGACTCGATTCCAGAACCCTGGGATCATGACCTGAGCCGAAAGCAGACACTTAATCGACTGAGCCACCCAGGCGTCCTTTAAAACTCTTTTTAATTATATTATTAATTGACTTGGGATCTGACTCTAGCAGTAGACTGTATAGTCCACGAGGGCAGAGGACTATATCTCGTTCACTGCTGGATCTAGTGGGTCTGGCAAGTAGTGGGCACCCAATTATTTGTGAATAAATGAGTTAAGTGCATAAACAATCTGTTACCTACTATTTCCTACCAAACTACTTCTATAGTCACGGCTTTATAAAAGGGATAGGATCAGGATGTCCATTTATAGGTTAGACCGTTGGAATGGGTAAAATGTTCTATAAATGGTGGCCAAGTTCCCTGATTAATCCATGAAATGGGGTGATGTTGGGGAAGGGTTTCCCCCACAGAGCCAACAAGCAAATGCTCCCACACCAGCTACAATTCAACTCAACTGTGACACGCCATATCTGGAAATGGCATCAGATTCCACAGGTTACGGGCTCAGTCCTACAAGACTGCCGCCCACGTCACTCAGCAGCTGCGAGCCCATGCTGTCACCCGTCTGTGCTTTGGACCAACCACCTATAGATCAGCAGCTCCCACAAACCCCCTCTTTGGATTCGATTAGTTTGCTAGAGTGGCTCGCAGAACTCAGGAAAGCCATCCACCTTACAGCGCACTGGCTGACTGTAAAAGGATGTAACTCAGGAACAGGCAGATGAGGGGACGCACAGGGCAAGGTATGTGGGACAGAACGAGGCACTTCCATGTCCTCTCTGAACGTGTCACTCTCCAAGCACCTCCACACAGTCACCAACCCAGCTCTCCCAACCCTTTGGGTTTCTACGGAGGCTTAACTATGCTAGATTAAATCACTGGCCACAGGCAGTCAATTCAACTTCCAGCCCATTACTTCTCCCCAGAGGTCAGGGAGATGGGACTGAAAATTTCTAAACCTCTAATTGTGCAACTGATTCTCTTGGCAACCTGCTCCCACCTTTAAAGCATTTCCATATCACTTGCTAACAAAAGACACCTTTACATCCCCTAGGGAATTACAGGGGTTACAGGAGTTCTGTGCCAGAAATGAGGCACAAAAACTAAATATAAATATATTTCTCATTATAAATCTCCATAGTACACCATGGACGCTGTTTCAATATACAATGCTGTTTAATCATAGTGTATAGGTCACAGGTCCAAGTTCTAGGGAAAGAAGGTCACTTCCGGGGTTCAGGCAGGGCCAGCTGGGTTGTCTAACTTGTATCTCTCAAGTATTCTCCAAAGACAACCAGCGGACTGCATGTGGGCTGTTATTATCTTATTAGCTATTTGGGCTGATTCCATGTCTGTCTGAACTGTCCTACAATGACCCGAAGCTTTCAGAGAACAGGGACCACGACTATCATTTACCACGTTATACAAACCCTTGGCATAGCGTCACTTATCCTAATTACTCCCAGCTGACATCCTTAGCGGCCATCCCCTTTACCAGGACATGCCATTAATATCCAGCGTTCTCTTCGTTTGTATTTGTTTACAAGTCGCAATACGACATGGAGTCTTTTACAGGTGTATGTGTTTTTACTGTGTTCGTTTTCGGTCTCCTTATCCAGACACATTCATGTGTTCAAAAGATACATTTTAAAAAGAAGGAAAGGGCAGGGGCGCCTGGGTGGCTCAGTGGGTTAAGCCTCTGCCTTCGGCTCAGGTCATGATCCCAGGGTCCTGGGGTCGAGCCCCGCATCGGGCTCTCTGCTCAGCGGGGAGCCTGCTTCTTCCTCTCTCTCTGCCTGCCTCTCTGCCTGCTTGTGATCTCTGCCTGTCAAATAAATAAATAAAATCTTAAAAAAAAAAAAAAAAGAAGGAAAGGGCAGAACGCCAAGAGCAACTGAAAAATTTCATTAAGGTCAGAAAATCCAAAATGTTGGATAAGCTGAGGTTCCCAAGAAAAGCCAATGAAAAAGGGGTCAATCAGAAGGGGAAGAAAAAGGATCTAACAGCTGGAAGCAGATGTTCTGTTAGTAAGAGACAGAAATGCACTCATTCAATGCCAACGTTTTTGTGCTATTAGAAAACTTTCCATTCTAGAAAGAACCCAACGAATGTAAGAGGAAAGAGAAGACCGAGACATCTGAAGAAATGAGAGGTACCCAGATGTTTGTTAGTTAAATTCCCCAAACCAGAATCACATATGATGCAGTGTTCAACCTTTTTCACTGCATGGCACACACAGAAAATACTATAGTACACAAGGTTTGGTGCACAAGGGTTTGCTGTCATAATACTGACCACTGTAAGCTTCCCCGGCTGGCCAATGTGGTGACTCTGGCCAGCTGAATGGCCAAGGAAATCTACTTCCTGGCCCACCTGTGACAGCTCCCAGTGTCCCAGTATTTGGAGTTGGAAACTGACCTAGAATCCTAAAATAAAGGTAGATGATTAAAAAAAGCGCTATTAGTCTTTGAGGAAGACAAGTTGGTGAACATGACATGAAGAGCTACCTGAACGCTAGGAAAGATGCCACAGCTGGGTTTTTTAAACCACAAACAAGATGCAGTAAGCACTGGATGCTAGCACGTGCTCACACACGTTCACCAAGAACGATGCAAGCCTGACTATCTTTGCAGTGGGTTGAATTGTGGTCTCTAAAAAAAGACGTGACGTGTTCTAATCCCCAGAATCAGCAAATGGATCTTATTTCTAAAAGGGTCTTCACAAGGGCGCCTGGGTGGCTCAGGTGGTTAAGGAACTAACTGCCTTGGGCTCAGGTCATGATCCTGGAGTCTTGGGATTGAGTCCCGCATCAAGCTCCCAGCTTGGTGGGGAGTCTGCTTCTCCCTCTGACCTCTCGCCTCTCATGCTCTCTCTCTCTCAAATAAATAAGATCTTTAAAAAAAAAAGGGGGGGGGGTCTTCGCAGTATAATTAAGTTAAGGATCTCATGATGGGACCCGTCCTAGATTTCGGGTGGGCCCTAATCCCAATGACAGCTGTTCTTCTAGGAGAAAGGTAGAGGGAGATTTGAGATTCAGATGGACACAGGGCCGCATGCAGGTGAAGGAGGAGTTGACGGTGATGCAGCCACGAGCCAAGCCCAGAGCCACAGGTGAAGAAGGAAGGATTCCCTTTTGGAGGCGGGTGTGCCAGACCAACACCTTGACGTTGGCCTTTCTGGCCTGCAGAACTGTAAGACAACAAGCATCCTCCCAGCAGCCCGAGGAAACCAATACAGTCCCCTTTCCCTTTGATGACAGACAAAAGTTTACAGGACGTGAGGAATGCAACAGAAATAGAATGCCTGGATTTTTGCACGGATCCTTAATGCCCTTGTGGGGAAAGTTGGATAAGCAACTACACCTCTCTCCTGGACTGAATTTTGCGTGAGACCGAACACATTCAGTCTGGGAGAGATCACTGCTCAGCGAAATCCAGCTACTTTCCACCAGAATGCAAGTTCCTTGAGAAAAAGCAGTTTTTGTCTCTTTTGTTCAATGCTGTATCCCCATGCCTTGTGGCCAGAAATAGTTGACTGACTTTTCTGAGCACCATCAGGCAGAAGGCTTATCAGCATGGAAGGGTGCACTCAGCAGGCTTATGTTCCTCAAACTCTGTACATGCCTGAGGAAGTCTTGTCTTCAGAACTGGCCCTTTGCTGGTTCCTGGGAGCTGACCAATTGTCTGATAAGAACGTTTGTGCATCCCCAAGGCCTTGAGCCAAGCCGTACTAAGTTTGCCCAGATTATTTATAGCAACAATGTGATTGATGGTCAATATCTACTTTTTTCCTGGGTGCCTAGAGCTTCAATAACTACGGTCAGTCTGTATGTCTACATAATGCATTTCTCAGTAAAAACCGTGGACACCCAGGCTGGGGTGAAATTCCATGGTTGGCCAACACCCCACTTACTGTCACACGTCGCCGCTGGGGGAATGAAACGCATCCCATGCAATTCCACTGGGAGGGGACATCTAGACTCTGACACCTGGTTTCCTCCAGGCCTCCCTCCCGGCACTTTTTTCCTTCACGGCTTTTACTCTGTATCCTTTTGCAGTGGTAATTTGTAACCGTGATGGTGACTTCATGCTGAGTGTTGAGGCCTGTGAGAGCTTTTCGCAAACCATCAAGCCAGAGGGTGGTCTTGGGGACCCCTGACACGGTCTAAAAAGATAGTCATCTAAGGGCGCCTGGCAGGCTCAGTCGGTACAGCCTGCAACTCTTGATCTTGGGGCCATGAGTTCAAGCCCCAAGTCAGGTAAGAGTGCTTAAATGAATAAAACCTTTTATATGTTTTTTGATTTAAAAAACTTTTAAAAAAACAATTTATTTATTTATTTGAGAGCGAAAGAGAGAGAAAGAGAAAGCACGAGCAGAGGGAGAGGGAGAAGGAGACTCCCCGCTGAGCAGAAAGCCTAGCTCCCAGCACCCTGAGGTCACGACCTGAGCTGAAGGCAGCCGCTTAGCAGATGGAATCACCCAAGCACCCAAACCCTTAAAAAAAAAAAAGGAAAAAGAAAGAAAAAAGAAAAGATACTTCTCTAAAACTGTGATATCAGGGTTTTCACCATATACACAGAAACTAACCAACTCATTACCTGTGTGTTTTCATCTCGATCCAGCTTCTCTTTTCTTTTCTTATTTCTGCTGTGAAATTCTATCACTTCTACTGGCTCTCTGGGGTTCTTCAGGGTTGGGGGAGATACAGCAGCACTAGGGGCTTCCGGTCCTGAAGGGGAACCAGTGGGGGTCACAGCAGGGGCACGCCGCAGCTCTTGGAGTTCCTTGAAGAAGCTGGAGGCACTCTTCCTTTGACCTCTTCCAAGGGAACCAGGTAGGGGAGCTGGCTCTGCTGCCGCGACCACGGGTGTCTCGGCACCTCTCTTCTTGTTTTCTCCTCTCTTCCTGATCCTTTTCTGTTCTGCTTCACCTTCTGTCTCCTCTGTTTCTTCAAACACAGAGCAGGAAAATAAACAGCTTTGGTTTTATCAAATTGTCAAATCATGTGAATGTGTCTGTATGTATGCCATGGCTATCAACAGCCAGAAATACAAAGAAACAAAAGATTTCTTTTTCTTCAAATGGGGTGATTTTTGCACAATTCTGGGGTCGGGGTATTTGTATTTTCTTTTTTAATTTTAATTCAATTAATTAACATATAATGTATTATTGGTTTCAGAAGTACAGGTCTGTGATTCATCAGTCTCATATAATACTCAGTGCTCATTACATCACATGCCCTCCTTAACACTCATCACCCACTTACCCCATTCCCCCAATGCCCCCTCCAGTAACCCTGTTTGTTTTCTGATTCTCTTACGGTTTGTTTTATTTGCACAATATGTAGAAACCAAGACGCAACATCTTTTGCTAGGTAACTAACTATTGTTGTGTCTGACCCACGGCACAATTACTTCAGCCCTGACCTCAGTCCATACTAAGAGCAACCTCAAGGCAACAGTTTCCAGGGAACTGGCAATCCCCATCAGCTCACGCTTTGTGCGAAAAATGTCTGCCACTACAGCTGATGTTTTATTTTTCAATATTCTCTAGGGTTGCGGGTGGGTATTACAGTCTTCCCATTTTTTTTCAGTTATGAATTAGGATGAACCTACGACAAGTGGTTCAATGTGAACGTATTTATTTTCTACGAAATACCTGTATCGCCTCTATGTTTCACCTGTTCAATTCTGACCAGCCACCTGAAAGCTCTGACTTCAAGTGCTCACCTGCACCGCAAGTATCACAGCACTTTCTAAATACTGACTGATCATTTGTTTACTTATATAAAAGGTACCTAAACTTTGGCATTGGGCACCTAAAAATGGGTAGTTACGGCCCAAGCCTTCAGAGCTCCTTGAATAATTTCAAGCCTGTGCTAACATAAACTATATTTGGGATTTGGCAGAATTGTCTTTTCCTCTAGTTTTTAAACTTCTCAAGGCCAGAAACTAAGTCTTCTCTGTCCTCTGATATTCCCAAGGGGGTAGAAACGTTGTGTCCACAGGACAAGTCAATACAAGGGGAGGGGCAGGGGCTGGACAGTCTGGAGACTGGAACCCACGCTCTGCAAATTAACAGCTAGATGAATTTCGGTAAGCATTTTAACCCCTAAAGCTTGTTTCTACATTTGTAATAAATGGGATTAATGACTATGTATTTCACCAGAAGTGAAGATTAAATGAGTACAAACATGAAAGACGGGGACTATATGGCAAATTCTCCATACTTTTTAGCTATTATTTTTACTGTGTAAGTGAGCTTACAATCTTTTTTTTTTAAGATTTTATTTATTTATTTATTTGACAGAGATCACAAGTAGGCAGAGAGGCAGGCAGAGAGAGAGGGGGAAGCAGGCTCCCCGCTGAGCAGAGAGCCCCATGTGGTGCTGGATCCCAAGACCCTGGGATCATGACCTGAGCCGAAGGCAGAGGCTTTAACCCCCAGAGCCACCCAGGCGCCCCGAGCTTAGAATCTTGAGCAATGGCTCCAAACTACAATAGCTTTCGCAACAGCACGTTGCGAAATTGAAGAAACGTTTGCTCCTTAAAGACACCAATGCCCAGGCTATCTCTTGCCTGAGCAAGGGATGTCACCTAGCCTGGACCAAATTCTTCAGAGTGTGTGGAACTGTCCTTTCCTACTAACGTGCCAGGCGGTTGCCAATCTCAAATAACCGTTTTTCTTTCCTTCTCCCCAAACAAAAAGAGAGGACGGCCAACTTAATGGAAGGAAGTCCGCGGGGGAGGAACGCACTGAAGGTTGGGGGTCTACGGTGACAAGGTGGCACCACGGCACTAAGGTCACGCGGGGCTGGGAGGGCGGTGTGGGGCAAGCGGGCTTCCCAGACGGCCGGGAAATGTCCACGGGGTGGGGAGGGCTGTGTTCGGGAGCCCAGGGTCCTGCGCGCATCACACGCTGCAAGCCTGAAAGCCTCGGCGCATCCGACGAGCAGCCAAGCCGGCGCCCACACTCAGGGACCGCTCGGGAGGCTCGGTCCAAGAAGAGCACCGACAGAGCCCGGCCGTGGGGCGCGGGGAAGGGGACCTCTGTCGGAGGCGTGTGCTGCACCCATCCCGGGAAGCAGGCCGCAAAGCTGAGGGGTGCTCCACGTGCAAGGGCCGAGGACGGCCCAGTCTCGAAGGTACAGCAGACCCTCAGCGGCCAGTCCGCTTCCCACGTGGGCCCCGAGGCCCCGCACTCACCCAAATCGTAGAGGTTCCGGAGCAGGGCGTCCAGCAGCTTCTGCGAGCCGGGAAGCGCGCGGGCCCCCAACCCCTGCTCCTGAGCCATCGGGGGCGGGGGGTGGGGGGCGCCGCCGCGGTGCGGCCCACAGCCCGCGGGGCACCCACACTTCCGAGTTCCGACGCGCTGCGCGCGCGCGTCGCAGGTCCCGGCGCGGCTTCCGTCCTGGTTAAGATGGCGGCGCCCGGGGTCCTGTGGAGCGGCCGCAGAGGGTGCCGCCGCCCTAGGCGAGGTTGGGCCGCCCAGCGTGGAAGAACCGCCCCCAGCAGCAGCAGCACCACCGCCTAGCAAAGAATTTCAGGCCCCGCCTGGGACGGCAGCCGCACCATGGATTCTTCTAGTTCATCCAACTCTTGTTTCTCCGTCGGCTCCGCCAGTCCCGGCGCTGTCGTGCTCCTCTACTCGGTAGGCGCCCAGGGGAACGAGGCCCGGGGCGGGGCCGCGAGAGAGGACACCCCCACCCCCAGCCCCGCTCGGTCCCGGCCTCCCACGGACCACGATCCCTGGCCGGAAACAGTGGGTCCCGGGGCAGCCGAGGAGGGGTTAGGTGGTTGACTTGGTTTCCAAGGCAACGGTGTCTCGCCGCGTGTGTAAATGCGTGTGTGCTTTTAGAAGTTTCTATGGGCGATGGTTCCTCCGGTTCCTTTCCACTCGCTCTTTCTCGTTCCCTCTACCACGCACGGGGCCTTCGGAAAGCCCGTGGTACAGGGATGAGGCGTGCGAGTTGGATCTCCGTCTGCAGCGTGGGCTGCCTTTTGGTTAAACCTGAGAAACCTGCGCGTCTGACCTGGCCTGAGCTGCATCGGCGTGTGGCTCCCCACCCCGCCCTTTTGTTGCTGCCGTTAGGTTCCTGGGAGAAGGGCCTTTGGGTGGTATGTGGGCAGAGAGTTTGTAAGACGTGAAGTTTTTAATCTAGGAAGATTGGGAACTTTTAGAAATTTTTATTGCGTTTTTGTCTTCCATCCGTACTTTTCGCGAAAGTCATTCTGGAAGACACCTGAGGCCACCCAGCCTCTTCCAACTTGCCTTACAACCCCCAGCCCTGTCCTCCCTCTCCTGATTTTAACTGATCTTTTTCGCCGCCGCAATGTTGGTCACTCACAATTTATGTGAAGAAATTATGAGGTGAACCCTTTGTAGTTCTCAGGGTTGCACAATTATGGGGGAACTGATCTTTTTCTTTTTAACCACTAAATTAGTTTTTATCTACTTTACAAGGAAATAAAAGAATGCATTTTCAAAGCATGTTACTATGTCCTGCAGGTTAGTGCCAGTTTCTGACTTTAATGTTAATGTGTGTAAGAAGGTCATAGCAGGGAAAAGACGAAACAAGATAGACAAAAAACTCGGTTTCAAAAGAGAACCAATACATATGGCTGTATATCAGGGAAACAGAAGTTTCTCCATGTTCCAAAGAATACTGGTGTCTCAGTTTGTTTCCTTGATGTGGAGAGCTCTGGGCCTATAATCGCTGTTAACAGTCCACTTCTGTAGGGTTAGTACTTTAACCTGTCTCCTCATCGACCTTCTTACTCCACACCTCTGTAGTAAAACTATTTTGACCTCATTTTCTGACTCTGGTATTCCAGAGCCGATGTGTAGGGAAGCAGCTTGCTGTGTAGGTCCGGTAGCTTTTTCAGCCCTAAACCGGTTTGTGAGTTGACTGCAACTTTGCATCTGTGTGTTAAAGGAAAGAACTGGTTTTTTACTTCCCCGTTTACTCCTGGTTCTTTCATGATAACACTTTTGCCAACTTTCTCACATGAAAAGTTAAAGCAATTGTATGTGAGCTTTTTCTGCTTCTGAAGCTGGACAGAACCCTCACTACTGCCTAGTCTACTTTCATGATGACCTGAACTTTTTCTTACTAGTTCAGGCTGGCCTTACTTCCTCAGCCACACTTACTGTACAATACTCCCATCTAATATGAGAGTAGTGCTCAGAGATATTTTAAGATACTCCTGATTGCAGGAAACATTGCTGCACTCATTACCTGTAGCATTCTACTCATAATTCTCCACTCCCAAGATGTGGACGTGAAAGATCCACCTCATGTGTCCTTGGACTTGAAGTCACGGCAATAAATAGTTAGAATTGAGATAAGGGCAATGACCGAATCACGCACAGTATCTTGTTGGAGGAAAGAGAAGGAGCACCGGACCTGTTCCAGGCTTCAGAAAAGGCTTTTAGGAGAAGGTGATACCCAAGCTGAGTTTCTGAGGTGTGACTGGGAGACGAGGGAGGAGAGGAAGACTGGCCCAGGCATCCCTGTAGGAAAGCCAGTCCTTTGCATGTTTGGGAGAACCAAGAGGTTAGGTAAGGGTCAAATAAAGGAGACGTGAGAAACAAAACTAAGGAAGTAGGCAGAAGGTACTTCCTAAGGGCGTTTTATATACCAGGTTTATACCCCTTAAGGATAAAGTCTTCACTTTCTGAGGGAACATTTCAGGATGATCAGATTTGTATTTTTGAAAGTGTAAGAAGACTAGGTTTCCGGAGTAGTTGTTTGTGTGGATAACCTTTACTTGAGCACAGACTGTAGAAGGAGAATCTGATTGGAGAAGGGAATCTGATGCCAAAAGTGTGGAGATCAGAACACTACTGCAGTAATTCCAAGAAGTGATGAAAGCCTGAGGCAATGGCAGTGAGCTTGGGGAGAGGGGAGATGGACGAGTGTGTGTGCTATTTAGGACAGTGGAAGTGCCGTGACTAAGAGGAGGTTTCTGTGATTTGGCCTCTGGGTGGATGTTGATGCCTTTTGCTGATAGGAAATCTGGGGAGAGGAACAGGTTTAGTCGGAGTAATATAATTTCAGTTTGGGATGTGTTCAGTGTGAGACGCCAGAGGTAAAATGAATGACTTTTAACTAATGGATTATTATGTTATGGACCCGATACATCACAAAATGTGGGGGAGACTTCCAGATAGAGTTAGAAATATGGTATCAGAGCAAACAGGGTCTGGCCTGAATCTATGGATTTGTCAGACATCAGCAAGCAGATTGTATGAGAAGCCATAGGTCTGCCGGAAACCTTTCCATGAGACCACAGAATGAAAAAGAAGAGTGGGGCTGGAGAATTACTGGTATATCCAGAACCCAAACTATGATTTCCTGAATGAATGAAAAATCTGGACTCCTTACAATATCTTACAAGACTACGTAATTGCTACCTCCCTGATTTTAAAAATCTTGCGCACTGGGATTCAACCACACTGGCCTTCTGTTTCTCAGACAGTAAGCCTGCTCTGATCAGGAGGGCACGCCGTTCCCTCTGTGTGACATGCTGTTTTCCCAGAAATTGGCATTGCTGCTTTCCCCTCTACCTCTCCACCACCTTTTATTTTTGAGGTTGCAGCTCAAATATCACCTCACGAAGAGGCCTTATCCAATCATTCGATCTAAAGTAGCTCTCCAGTCACTCCTTCTCGTTACTCTATTTTCTTTATATTCCTTTTCCAGGGTTGTGCTGCTCTCAAAGCTCATTGTTAATTTTCCATGACGTTTGTGAGCCCGTTGTTGGAACACAGCCGCTATTAAAGATTAAGTTTTACAAATTTACAGTTAAATTGTTAAAAACAAAAGTAACAAATACTCAAAACTCAGCACTTCCTAATTATTTTACTAGATTTTGCTATTATCTATACTTTTGAGGTTATTTATGTCCGCAATACTGGGAGATGGAAATCCTTTGTAATCGTGGTTACTACACAGCTCTCCCCAGCTCCTTGTTCAGTGAGGTCATGTTGGTAGCTTGAAATCTGCCATGGTGGGAGTGTAAATGCCACCGAAATTGGCGAGTGCTATAAATCAGGGCTCTCACGTAGTTAAACACTCACCAGCATGCTACCGCTAGTATGCCTAAGTAAACTTTATTTGTTGTCTGTCTTTCCTTAAGGGAGTGTAGGCTCCTTCAGTACACATTCTTTATTTAAGTTTTTCTTTTTAAGATTTTATTTATTTATTTGATAAACAGAGGTCACAAGGAGGCAGAGAGGCAGGCGGAGAGAGAGAGAGGAAGCAGGCTCCCCGCCGAGCAGAGAGCCTGATGTGGGGCTCGATCCCAGGACCCTGGGATCATGACCTGAGCTGAAGGCAGAGACTTTAACCCACTGAGCCACCCAGGCGCCCCTTCAGTACACATTCTTTGTCTGCTTTGTTCATGCTTTATTCATAGCCTGTGGAACAGTGCCTGGTACATTGTGGGCTCTCCGTAACTCTGTTGAATGAATAGAGCCTCCAGGGCTTCAAAAGAGAGGTACGAGGAGAAGCCTGTTTACTCGCAAATAAGGAGGGGGCTGCCGTAAAAAGTAAGAGAGAGAAACAAAGCGGGGAAATAACCTAAACCTTCTTTTTTGGACTCCTCTTTGTATTGTCCTCCTAGATAAGTAGCCTTGTAAATATATTTATCTTATGATGGTAAATACTTCTCTATCATGGTTTCGGGAAGGCCAACGAATGAGTAGTTAACACTCAACTCTAGCTACATGTAAGAGTCACTGGGAGTACTTTTAAAAATCATTCTGATGCCCAGGTACCATTCACAGACCAAATTAATCAAGAATCTCTAAGGGCACCTGGATGGCTCAATCATTTCAGCGTCTGACTCTTTATCTCAGGTGTTGGTCTCAGGGCGTGGAGCCTACTTAAAAAAAAAAAAAAAAAATCTCGAGGCGTCTGGGTGGCTCAGTCATTAAGCATCGACCTTTGGCTCAGGTCATGATCCCAGGATCTTGGGATGGAGCCCACATCGGGCTCCCAGCTCGACCAGGAACCTGCTTCCCCCTCTCCGCTTGTGTTCCTTCCCTCGTTGTGTCTCTCTCTGTCAAATACATAAATAAAATCTTTAAAAAAATAAAAATAAAATCTCTAGGGGGGCCTGGGCATCAGTATATTTTTAAAGTGCCCAGGTTAGGGACGCCTGGATGGCTCAGTTGGTTAAGCAGCTGCCTTCGGTTCAGGTCATGATCCCAGCGTCCTGGGATCGAGTCCCACATCGGGCTCCTTGCTCGGCAGGGAGCCTGCTTCTCCCTCTGACTCTGCCTGCCTCTCTGTCTGCCTGTGCTCACTCGCTCTCTCTCTCTGACAAAAAAAAAAAAAAAAAGTGCCCAGGTTATTGTCATGTGCAGCCTGGATTAGAAACTGCTGGATTAGACGTCAGCT